AATATATGTATTTTTTCTCATCATAAAATTGAAAATGCATTATATTTAAGTCAGGTTTTATACGCAGAACGCGTGTGTATAATATAATGCATAAGTGTGTTGCATTGCCTAAGTTTTAGAAACGAACGCTTATTCACTGTTCACCAGTCCACGAATCATACGCTTCCAAACGAAATAATCGTAGAAATATTTTGATTTCTGTCATCAACTGATGGATTTTATTCATTATTTAGTTTAAATTGTCGTTTACATCGTTCAAACTCATTTTTTTCGTCAGCATATAATACTTCGCCGAACAAGCTCTATTCAATTTGAATATTTTGGATTAACTATTTTATCTAAAATACGTTGAATAGTTCGCTGTTTTTTTAATCTATAAATAGAAATTGAACTGATTTACTAGCTAAATGTTTTCTATTTTATTCTGATCATCGAATAAAAGAAGTCTTTTCAAATGTTGAACATCTTATTCTGGTCACATAATGTAACGGAAGAATATAAACAAATTTGATTCAATGAAGTCTTCAACGAAAACGAATTGTTTAAATTTTTTTTAAATTTAATTCTCATTCAAGCAATTCAAGTATACATTCAATAATTTATTCAAATACAAATAAATGAAGTAGCTATTCATACAGAAAGAATAAATGATCATCGTTTTCTTAATATATATATATCATATGCATACTGTTATGGATCAACAATGAAGAAATAAAATAATTCAATTTAATGATTGTATAATGTTTAATTTAATTTCATATGGAATCATTTCGTTGATCTTTGATTTTGGGATAAAATTAGTTCATTACTTAAACAAATACGTTGTCTTCAATGTCTTTCACTTGATGTATATTTACTCGAGATTTTCTTTGATTTGATAGACAACAATTTCTTTCTATACGCCCAATAAATAATCTGGAACGCCTTAATATGCTATTGATTTTACACCAGAAGAAGAAATTAAACTTGTTGATAAGATTATGTCATCATCAAAATCTATACTTTATCGAATTCGTTATTTATTTTATATTAGTAATATTCGTATGTTTCTTTATACGATTTCGTGTGGTTTGTCTTATTTGGATATTAGTTAACAGAAATCATTTTTTGTAGTTCTAATATAAAAGAATTACTTTTATTTAATGTAACTAATTATAGTAACAAAGCAAAAGATCTTACTTACGAAATGGATGAAATTATCTTCGAGTAAGTTGTTTTTCTTCATTCTTTATTAAATAGTTTTTAGAAATTTTTCTTTCTTCTTATTGTACGGTAATCTGTAAACATAAACAAGAAACGAAACTAAACATGTTTCTGAACTCGTTTAAACAAAACTTCATTGGTTTTCAACTGATGGTTGTTTATCTTTTAAAAGAAATATTGCTTGTAGTTCGTAATTTATGCATAATTATGATTATTGTGATGTTTCATCTTCAATGATCGATCAAATCTAGACTTAAATCTGTATCTCACTATGAAACAATCATATAACACATCTCTCAATTCAATTATAAGATGCAGTTCAACTGAATGATAAAAATATGGAACAATTGTCAAATATATTTGTTTATGTTTATTATATGATTGTTGAAAAGAGATCGTCTAGTACTGCGTCTTTTAGAAATAATATTTCATTATTTTTTTTGATTATTTCAAAAAGTTCAATGAGTATCGATTATATTTCGAAATTCAACAAATAAGAAAATTTGCAATAATCCTGCTCAATGACTCATAGACTATATTTATTCGAAATTACACAACGATAAATCTACAGCTGAATGTGACGAACTAGAATTCAAAACTTGACTATAAAAAACAACAACAAATAACTCATTTTTTGTGAAAAACAAGTGGTAAAAACTAAAATGAAATAGAGTTTCTAATCTATTTTTTTAAAATTAATTCAAATCTTTTTTATTCTACTTTTTTTACAGATAAATATCTAATGTCAATAAAAAAGGTTCATGATCAAGATTTATTTCATAATGTAATTGGCATCGGTCTTCGTATGTATGGAAATGGATATCCTTATGCACCACAAACTGTTAATTATATAACTGAATATTGTCGTCAACAAATTCGTCATTATTTTATTCAACACAATCAATTAGTGCGTAAAAGTCATGATTATTGTCCACTGTCATATCTAAGTACGCTCGTATATACGTCACGTCATAAAAAATATTTTCTTAAACGGCTTCAACACTTTTTTCAAGCAAAAGATCGACCAGTATTACAGCAAGATGAACTAGTTGATAATATTGTTAAAGATAAAAAATTAACAATGGCTGATAGATTTAAACGAATATGTCGCCAAACACAAATTTCCATCGATGATAATCAAACTAAAGTAAATCAACTGTTCTATATCTACAGAAAATCAGTATTGACAAATAAATAAGATCTTATTCTAGAACGTTCATCATATCTCATCATGTATAATGGATATCTAAAATGGGACTAGGAGATCAACTAGAGGCGGCGCCAGGAATTCAGACTAGGGTGGGCTCAGACCCTTCGAATTTTTACCAGGGTGGGCTTGAACTACCTTAGTTTTGAAAACTGAAAAAATGAATGGAAAATTTGTCGAATTTTTGGATCAGTCAAAACTGTTGCTTATTCCATGCTAAATAGTTCGCATGAATGTATAGAAGGCTTGGAGTANTGTGGCAACCCCGATCAAAATGATCATCGATTTTTTCAGAAACCTTAAAAAATTTCTGGGTGGGCTCAAAAAATTTTAGGGTGGGCTTAGCCCACCCCTGGCGCCGCCACTAGGATCAACATCCTCAAAAAAGAGCACTTTAGCTATTTTCTTTTGTGATTTTTTCTAATTTTTACAGCAATGAAATAGTCCTAAAGTTATACACATTTTCATTTTCAATAGGCAATGTCATCAGCGTTAGATCGTCAACGTTCACGTCAATATGCTCGTCTTGATATTTATTACAAAAGTGACGCATTAACATCAGATGCTTACTTATTATTTGTTGAACAACAACATTCATCTTTCAATAGTCTTCGTTCATTGTCATCTATTGATATTCAATATTGGCTTCAATTAAATAATCTTACTGTATCAAATAAAAAAAGTGCACCAAAGCATGATCTTCGTGTGACAGAAATTTGTGTATTTCTTATCAAAGAAATTCTTCTTAGTCTAATGGATAAAGTTTATCACTCATCTATTCGTTGTGATATTCATGATATAATTCGTCGTCAGCATGTACATAATAATCGTCGTTTACCATTTTCAGGACGAAGACGAAGAGTTTATTGAATATTTAACAGAAACGTGAGATAAATCAATTTTTGTTTCAGATAAAAAATTTTGAATTCAAAACTAACAGTACTCATTCGATGTGCATTTGATGTTATTGCATTAGAATTTATTCGACAATTATTACGATATCGAACATATATGTAAGAGAAAAGCGTAGAGTAAGAGGAGTTTCCTAATTGTTTTTCTCTTTTCTCTTTTGAAGGACATCCATCAATTAGAGTTACAATTTCAATCAATGATATTCTTAGTATTGATTTAAATGATATCTATCAAGTAATTGTCGCGTTGGTTCATTGCTCTAGTAGCGAGAATAAAATATGGCAACAAAAAATGTACCTTTAGAATTTGAATGACATCAATACGATGATAATTCTATTTTTGAATTGCAAGAAGATGAGAAATGTCTATTATTTGTTTCAATATCACTTGGTGTGGTTAATAAACAGATGATACATGAATATAAACAAAATTATCTTGACTAGATGTTCAGTGTTAAACAAAAACTGAATCAATTAAACGTATGTTGATTTCTATTGGTAAATTATCGTAAGAAGATAATGAAAAATTCTTAGATTTTAATGTTAATTTAATGCCACGTTGAAAATATATTCTATGAATATTTATTTTATTTTGAATTTGTTTTCAGCAAAACTCTGGATAATATTATTATTTTATTATTATAACCACAATAGTAAAATTCTATATCATCTTAAAATCATCAAATTCTCTATTTAGTATTCAAAGAGAATAAGTCATCTTGCTGAATGTTGAGGGTTCATCTCAACAATTTTATTTGTTGCCAAAGAAAAAATCACGAGAAATCCGATTAATTTCTATATCAATTAGATTATTTTTTATGATTGATAATTTATGATCTTTTAGTATGCTCAGCTTTCTCAATAGTAAAGTTTATGATACTACAGTTAGGCTTCAGTTTTCGTCTTATAGAAAATTGTTAAAGCAATCATTATGATAACATTGCTTGTCTCAATGGTCTATGGTTCGAAGGGATATCATCAATAAAACAGAAAAATATGCGTTAGCAGTTATCCAAATGATTACTTTTTGCGAATATCGACGGCTATTATTAATACAAGAGCAGTCTGAAGAAGTTATAAAATTAAAAAGGTTACAAAGTGACCCAATGAAAAGTGTTTCCCAGTTGTATTATTTTTTTGATGCGAAAGCATTTTGTATAAAAAATATTTCGTCTTTATAAATCGATTTTGTCTACAACATAGAGCAACTGTAGTTTATTTATAACACTAATTTTTGATATCTATCAAGTATCTAATGGAATTCATTCAACTAGATAGAAATGGTTGATTATCTTTTTCTTATATTATTTGACTCATGATGACAATGAAATTGATTCGTTTTTTAGATCTGGTTTCACTTGTGTTGATATACGTATGAAGTCAAAATATGTTCCATAAAGCCAAGAAATTTTTATCAACAAATCAAACTTTACACAGCAGAAAAACTTGACTTTCTTTTCTTCGATTTAGCGAAGGTCATTTTTTTTTTGAAGAAAAAAGGCTGCACGAGTGATCAGTTCGAATTATTAGCTGTTGAATAAAACAAAATCTTCAAATATAGAGCTGCCTGTCATCTTCTTGAAGTATAATTTTTCTTTGTAATAGATTATTCGAAGAGACTCGATCTTTTTTTTAGAAACTTAAGCGAGTTTGTCATCTATTGTTAGTTTCTCTTTATACTCAACTATGGGAAATTCCAATCGATTAACACTGAATTAATTTTAGAACAGCATCGTCTGCTTGAATTTATGTGCAAGTTGAAGACCAGCTTCACTTTTGTCAGTAAAACCTTTATTGTTCTACTGATGCCATGCTAGTTTCTGTGATATAACTTATTTTATTTTATTTTGATATGTGATTCCATTGAAAAAGTAAATAAAACTTGGATATTTTTCTAGATAACGTACTGACTAAAGTTAATTTGATTTGATCACTATCTATTTTAGATAACTATGCCTTTATCTTGTTCAATGTTGGAAATGCTGCCCGATGAGATAATTTTAGAAGTTTGTCGATATCTTCATAGTGGTGATGTACTCTATTCATTTTTTGGCCTTAATTTTCGTCTAAATCAAACAATAACTTTTTATCGTCAACATGTTTCACTTCATAAAACATTTTACATGCAATTTATTGAAATATTCACCATAATTCTCCCGAAAATAGAATCATCAATTCGTTCTTTAGTTATTTTTGAATTAGAATCACCATTATTCTTCGAATCATTTAAAACTAATCATATATATGAACGTTTAGAAAAATTGACATTAGTAAATTGGACTGATGAAAAATTAATTTTATTTCTTGACACTTTACATGGAATGAAACATTTTCATACACTTGTTATACAAGCACTTGATTTGACAGAATCAGTAACAAATATAAATCTTCTAAGGAAGATCCTCGGTGCAAATGACAATCGATTGACAAATATTTTTTTTGATCATGAATGTGATGCATTTAATTTAATAGAAGAAAACGAAACGCAAACTATATTTTCAAATATAATTAAAATTGATATTGAATTACAAACAACAAAAGATCTTTTAAAACTTGTTCAATTTACTCCCAATGTTAAACAAATTCATACAACATTTAAACGCCCGTTGACAAAAATTTTATTTGGCCAAGAAATATTTACTCATTTAACAGAACTAAGTGTCTATGCTATGAGTTGGTTTTCAACATTTGATGATCTGAAAACATTGATTCAGATTTCGCCTACGATTGAAAATTTCTCATTTGTTCTTGTTACTCGTGATTATTCTATGATCGATGGAAAACATGTACTTTCAATTGTTCCTTCGCGTGTAAAACAATTCAATTATAGTATTTGTTATCATTTATCAGATATAGATGATGATTTTAATGCAAGCATTATTATAAAATCGTGGAAATCTATTCCTATTGCATATTCAATAAGTGAACATGATAAGCGAATTTTTTTACATACTATTTTATATCAACCGAATCGTCTTTCTCTTCGTTCTTTGTTTAATAAAAATATGTCAACCGACTACAATAGTCAAATTTATAAGAAAGTTCGTCATTTACATGTTTATGACACAAATTCTTTATCAGAAATATCTGGTATTGTACGGCATTGTCGACAAATTCTTGATTTAATTGTTTCTATTCGAACATTACCATCAAGTAAAAATTTCATTTTGCTTCTTGCTTGTAATTTATACATAATTAATCACATATGCGTATGCTTATTATTCTTAGGAAATTCAGATACACAAAAGACATCAATTGCACTTCCGTATCTTGGTCGACTTGATTTTCTTTCTATTCAAGGCACTCCACCTGACTCGCATTATATAGAACGAATTTTATTAGTTGCACCAAATCTGTCTGCAATATCTATTGATTTTGATTGTTTATTTAAATTACTTAGCGATGATGATCAATCACTTTCTCTATTCTATCTTCTTTATCGGCGCATTGTCATTTTATGCATTCGATTTGAGGAGACAGCGATCGAAAAATTGACTGCCGAACATATTCATTGTATTGCTCGAATATTCTTTCGAGTAAATCATATGTGCATCGATTTAAGAAATTCAAAGTTAAGAATTGAATCTCAAATAATATCATTAATTTTGAAATATTTTCCAAAATTAATGGTTCTTAGTTTGTATGGTCAACTATCTGAAGATATTAATGCGAACAAAGATATGCTATACCAATATCTTGTTGAACAATCAATAGGACGTTTGACAAATGTAAATAGATTTAAGATTGATTATGGAAAGGAAAGATTAAAAGTATGGATGTGATAAGATTTATATTTATTATGAGATTTATTTTATTTTATTTTAATTTTGTGTGTCGAAATTTTTGCAAAATGAATTATTTTAATGATAAAAAATTGTTTTTTCAATGTTCTAGATTTCTCATATTAAATAAATCAATTGTTCAGTGTAAATTTATTCAAGATTTTTGTAATTTTTCACCATGTCAGATTCAAAAGTTGAGGAGACTGCTGCGCCATCACAAAAACCAATACCTAGAATTAAGGATATTTCAATGATGAAAGCATGGAAAGATTCTAAAGTAAGTATTTTGACACACTATTTCTCATAAGTTAATCTGCTAATTGTGAAAACTGTACTTTTCATTTACTTCTTCAATCTTCTTTATCGAGTTATAATGATTGTATTGAAAAATTTGCAGTGTTAACGGGAATAATCAATAGCAAATCGCAGAGAGAGAGAGAGAGAGAGAGAGATGGCCAATTGAAACACTGATTACAAAAATGCTCGTATAGTCTGTAATTTCCAAACAGTAAATCTATGAAAAGGGGTTCTTTTTTTTTATAGTAATATATTCAAAGGTTTCACTGTAAATTATTGAAATCGCGTGAATCATATGAGTGGTGAGCAAAATACATTGAAAATATCTGATTTCATTTGAATTTTACTATAATTGAAGGATACAATTTTTAATTGAAATTATTTTTACGAAAAAAAAGCTTAAATCACGTGAAAGTCTCATCACTTTCAACGAAAGAGAACTTATTTTTATTAAAATATAATATTCAATTGGAAATATTGCAAATGTTACGAAATAGTTCCAAATAGAATTTCTTTTAAATTCGAAAAGTCAATGTTTTAGTAGTTATCAGATTAAATGATGAGCTAAAGTTCAGTTCGAACTCTTATGATTAAATTGAATGAGAATATCCAATAGCACACATTTATAACTCGATAAGAGGATATCGGAAAATCAAACAATACCAGTGTTATTTCTATTATTGATCAATACTAATTGAATAGAAATTGTGTTCAATGAAAAATGATATTTTTACATTAAAATTAATTTATAAATGAATTCATTTTTTAAAAATTATCTATAGGGATATCGAGAATATACTTTATTTGTTCAATCACTGAATCGAGTTGTACATGGTTTGAAAAATTCAGATCCTGTTCCTATTTCACCTGTATGATTATTTTTCTTATTTTCTTGTGATTTTTTTCTTTGACTTTTGTCTTAAGCATAGATTATTGAAAAATTACTCATCGTACTTAATAAAATTGATTCGTTTATTGATCAATGTCCAACAAAAGGCCGATCACGTTTTGGTGATGCTGGTTATCGTGATTGGCATGCAAAACTTAAGCAGGTATTTTACTTTATTTTTAGAAATGGAACTATGATTCAAACATCTTTTTTTCTCACATAGGAAAGTGAACAACTACTAAAAGATACTTTGCCTGATCAATTTCATAATTATATTGAAGAACTTAATGCGTACTTAAATGATTCATTTGGAAATAGTACACGTTTAGATTATGGCACCGGTTAGACTTGCAATCATTCTCATATTTTTAATCTAATCGAATTCTTTGTGCCATAGGTCATGAATTAGCTTTCGTTCTATTTCTTTTATGTTTGTGCAAAATCGAAGCACTTACTCAGCAAGATAGTCAAGCTATAGTATTGAAATTGTTTGCACGGTAACATTGTCAATTATTTATGGAGCAAACAATTTTCTTTTCTTTTCTTTTATGACACAGTTATCTTGATTTATGTCGAAGATTGCAACGAACTTATTATTTAGAACCAGCTGGGTCAAAAGGTCAATGGTGTTTGGATGACTACCAATTTTTACCGTTTCTTTGGGGTTCATCACAATTAACAGATGAAGGCCAAATCGAACCAAAACAAGCGATTGATGAAAGATTTTATCGAGATTTATCGAATGATTATTTATATTTAGGTGCAATCAAATTTATAAATGAAGTTAAGACAGGCCCATTTTTTGAACATTCTAGCACACTTTATGATATATCCAATGTGGCTCATTGGTCAAAAGTTAATCAAGGAATGATCAAAATGTATCATGGCGAGGTTTGTTTGAAACGTCGGAAAAACTGATTCTAAATTGAATTAATTGTTTTGCATTTTGAATAGGTCTTAGATAAATTTCCTATTGCGCAACATATTCTTTTTGGTAATCTTATATCGTTTGATCCTGTGCCAAAACCATCCAGTGAAGGTCTTTTTAAGAAGCCAGCAGCGGTAACCCAATAATACAAATAAAATCATGATTTATATTTTACCCCCGAGGAACTTTTTTTTCTGTTTTATTGTGTAATAATAAAACGATATGAAAACAAAATAAAGCTTGCATAATAAAAACAGCCCGACTTTCGAAAATCTTAATCGTTAATTATTAATAAAAAGAAAAGAGAACGATGAAGCTTCAACAAAGTGATTGAATGAATATTTCAAAAATTAAATGAACTTTTTGACTGACATCATTATAGAGGAAATCAGAAAGAAACAGATCATCTTTCGTCAACTAGTACACGAGCCTCATTGAAATGTGCAAATTTAATCTGTTCAATTCTCACGAAACAAATCTTTCAATAGATTGGTTGCTTTTTATTAAAGGTAACGTGAATAATGTTGAACAAAATGAACTGTGAATATTCTGAAAATAGTTATAACTATTCACTTATTGACGTTCTTGCATGTATGTTTTAGTCTCCACTTAGGAGCTCACGAGAAAATGATTCATGAATTTCCACTTGAGATTTTCTACAGACACAACATTACATGAGAACAGTCTATCATGATTGTTGTTTAAGATCTTGCCATGGTTACTACCGTAAGATTAAACTACAGTAAAATTATTTCTTTTTGCATCATTTACATTTAATAACAGATTCAACAATCTTAGACTCACATTACAAGACTTGACAATTTCCCAACAAATTACTTTTAGTAAAGCCTATTTAGATGTTAGTTTTTTCTAGTATTTCTAAGAAAGACTATGCCCATTTATTTTAAAACTAACTTGAAATTGCAACATCTAGGTTATAATAACTCAAGTATATGAACTATGTTTAGGGTATTCATAGGTTGCTTGCATATGCATAGCGTAGTTAATCTCGATTCAAATATGATTGAGCAATTGAGAGATTTGCCTCATAAATAAAGTTGGAAGATAACATTTGGAACTTGAATATTTGTGCTTCACAAACACTTATATTTAAAATTATGAAGTAACAATGGAAATCTTCTCATCTCACGTGTAGTGAATATGATGATCAACAATCGCCTTAACATTTTCTATGACACGTTTTTATATGAATACTTGTGAAATGATTTATTTCAGTCAACGATATCTACTATTAGTCTCTCTTTTATAATCCGATGAATTTATATTTTGTTCTGTTCTTCAACATAATCAAGGTCTACTCGACGAAAATCTGTCAGTACCGTATCGTGATCTTTCATTTTCTGCTGACAGTTAAAGGTTAGTGTTTTGTTTTTTGTTTTTTCTTCGTTCAGATTTAACATCCATGCTCGAATCGTAGTGATAATTAAACATAGTTTTATCATAATAATTTTGAACTATTTGAACTGGTAATTGATTTATTTGAAGATCATTTAGATTAATTGATGAAATAAAATATAATTGCTTTTTTATTACCCACAAGAGTCATCGCTGCTCGTTTACTACTTTTAATTGTTTGCAGTTTCATGATTGTGCGAATCCTATAAATACCATGACCATCTGTTAATGTATTGGTATCTTTCATGTTCGTTTTTATATATCAATTTTCTATGCCTGAGAGCCTTTCTATCCATTCCTATTTTTATTGTTTGTCGTATGCGTACATAATGATGACAAATATATTACAGAACCAAAATGATACATTTTTGTAACTATAAAGAAGGAAACATTCGATTGTTTTCTATAGGTCGTAACTATTGAGAAAAACGTTTCACAAACGATCTATTTTTGTGATTTTTCTCCTTTCTATTTTCTTGTGGACTTACATTGTGACTGGTATGTTCAATTGACTCTTCTATTTATTTTACACATTATCTGATTCAACTCTATTGTGATCATTTAAAAATAACTATATGACTTCTAGTACAGAGAGAAACTAAACATAGAGAATTCAGTCACAACTAATAGAAAGGCATCAAATTTGAAGAACAATGAATGATTCGTAAATAAACACAATTTCGAGCGCAAGAATTCCAATGTAGATATGAGTTGTATCTCACTGAGAATAAAACTTTCAAATTTTCTTTTTCATAAAGATTCATTAAATCTTATCAATTATATTTCTCATTAGAATACATTGGTTAGTTAATTATATGTTAAAATAATTTTTGAAATCTATTTCCCAATTGTGAGTCATTTAAAAAAATCTGTTCGATCTGATATCTATTAGTTTGTGAGTAAGTTGATAAATACTTGCTAGTAGATAAGTATTCAACTGATATAAATCGTATTTTCAATCAAGACCGTCCCTGAGCGTTTACTGGATGAAATGTTTTATTTTTAGCTATTTGAATTAGTGATTCTGTGTATAAGCACACAAACATATATATATATATAAATACGGCTACTGATGGTGCTTACCAAGAAAAACAAAATTGTCATCTTCAGTACTACTGGGTAAATATATTAGCAATAGCCAATGCGACAGTACACCTTTTTTCGACATTTTCTTAATATTTTTCAATTAGAAACTTCTTAAAAAATTAATATACTACTGTAATTCTAATAAAAAAGATTCATAAGTACAGAGAGAATACATGAACACGGCACACATCCACATTGAAAAGTATTGCTAATAAAATAGTAACTTCTTTACAAATGTAATTCACATTTTTAGCGTTATCATGCTCCTTCTTGTACTACTAACAGTTATTACAGTTGTTGCAAATGCAAGATCAACATCTGTGAAACAAAGTTCATTATCGTTTTTCTATGTTATTCCACTTGGTACAAATGGTGGTCTAGATGAAAATAATCTTTCATCATATTTACTTACATCAGTCAATAATAGTATTCCAAATTCAGCGTACATATCACTTGACGGTGGTACTGTTCGTCATGGAATTGAGTAATGACAACAATTTTCCTTGCAATTTTTAATAATAATTATTATTAATTATTTATAGAATAGCAATTAAACAGCAATCATTACCATTGAATACGGACAAAGAAATGTTTATTCGAGAACAAATAAAAGCTTATCTCATATCACATGGTCATCTCGATCATATTACTGGATTTCTTATTAACACTCCAAATGATAAATCAGGAAAATTTATTATTGGACTCAATCAAACAATTAAAATTATTCGCGATCATTATTTCAATAATCAAGCATGGGCTGATTTTGGTTCAACAGGTCTCAAAGTAAAATAAATTTAAATACAGTATTCTTCTATCCGACGTTTATTTTTTAAATTAGACATATGATTATCAAATACTAGATCCACTATCAACGATATCAGCTCCAATAGTGAATACTGATTTAGATGTGCGCATTTTTCGACTGTGTCATACTTGCCCATTTCTTAGTTCAGCTTTTCTTGTTTCTCGTCGTAATCAACCTTCAGCATCTATTCTTTATTTGGGTGATACTGGTCCAGATGATGTTGAAAAAATAATACAAGCTGATAATACGACATATTCACCTAGATATCTCAGTCAATTATGGAAAGAAATGGCTCCACTTGTTGCTGCTAATCAATTAAAAGCTATTTTTATTGAAGTCTCATATCCGAATGGGCGGCCCGACCATTTATTATTTGGACATTTGACTCCTAATTGGCTTTTGAAAGAACTTAACGTTTTGAAAAGTTATCATTCAATGGAAAATGTTAAAATTATTGTAACACATATCAAACCAGAAAATGGAGCACGAGAAAAAATTATTGAACAACTCTCAAGAGCCGATGCTTTACATTTTAATTTTGTATTTCCTCAACAGGGTCAAGCCATTTGGCTTTGATGAATTCGCGAGTTAATTTTTATTTTAATATGATTAACAAATAAATTGATAACAATATCAATGTTCAATATGTGACGAAACAAATATGTATATCTGACAGAAAGTGTAAAAGATCATGCACTATGTTTAAAATAAAACTTATGTTCCTTTGAAAATAATAGATGAGAATTGATCTTAATGCTTGAATAAATTAGACGGAAGTCAGGCGATATTGTTAGAACAATGTTTAAATATTTCTTTCTTTACTCATATTTGTCATTTCGGAAAACAAAGAGTCCATCATACTAAAATAACATATTGTGTCTTTTGTACTAACAGAAACCAATCAGAAATCAAAAGACCATATACAGTACTCAAATATAACAGTAATTGTAAAGATCGATATCGAATTGGTATAGAAAAGAAGTAGCTATACATGTCATGCACAGGCAAGCAGGCCAGAGCACGGGAACGTGTGCTTGTAAGTGTTCTCATCAGTGAAATACACAGTCGCACCCATTGCTCTCAACATATTTTGAACATAAAAATCAATATTTAACTAAATTTATTGCATGTGGAGTATTTTGTTTTTCATCGATCTATACTTCGATAGAATAATCAATTCAGTTCATTTTCTATTTATTGAAACGAAAATGTTTTCAAAATAGAAGCTCTTAGCTTAACAAATTTTTAACAATAAACTCAGTCAATATCTCAAAATTCAAAGGAAATATTCGAAAAACAGCTTTCTTTTAATTTTCTTTTCGTTTATAAAGTCATTTGTAAGCGTTCTCTTTTGGAAGAAACAAAAATAGCTTTCTCAAACAAAATATCAAATAGAAATTGTTACCCGAAAGTTGTCACACGCAAAGTCTATCTGTAACAGGAACATATTTAATCTATTTTTTCAAGATGTAAAGTTCAATGAAATAGATTTTCACAAACAAACATATTAAAATTAATGAGAACGATTACTCAATATTCCTTTGTGCTTTCGACGGTTAAACCCTTGATTGGCAAAACTAACAACCTTGGTGCATTTTTTTCTCCTTTTTGTTTACCAATCATACTAGCAACATCTTTTTCAACATATTGAATGTAAAATAGAAACGTCTAGGTAACAGTACGATATGTAACATCTTGCCAATCATATGTTTTTTCATTAAACATGTTTGCTCGACTATATCGGCACATGACTGACTGCTCACTTCAAATAGCCAAGTGAGAAGTATTTTCACATTCATTTTATTTTTTCGTTGTCTACAAATCAAGTAGTAGTATTAGAGAACACGATGGATCAAGCCGGTATGCTTTATCTTCATCATGATTTTAATTTACAATCAAAGTTGTTTTTTATCATTAAAATATTTCATTTTCTATTTTTTGAATGAAGGAGCTTCACAAGAGCAATCTGAAACTGGGGTACCATAGGTCTCAAGATGTCCACCAATGCGTCCACCCGAGCAGCAATACCAGACTTCCGCTTGCCCACCGATGCCTCTACCACAGGAAGACTAACTTGAACTACACATTTAACGTAAATTGACATTTATTTTTAAAATAGTTTTTCAAAATAATTGATACAAAACAAAATTAATTTTCTTTTTAAATTGCTCATTCTTGATTGAATTTGTTAGCTTTCGGCTATTCAAAGTCTTCATTTGCGTATTATTACTAATTAAAATATCATCATTCTTATTTCAAAACTTGAATCAACTAGTAAACAAGTAGATGTTAATAGAATATTATTAATGTATCTCGATAAATTTTCTAACACTCCTCTTGTGTATTGAACAAAATTCTATCTTCCTCAGTTTTCTATTTTGACAGATGATCACAGTGCAGTTCAATAGATCATTACTTATCAAGAATATTGATGCCTAGAATCTATATTAATATTTGTAGAAAAACCAATAGTGTACTATTTCAAACATCAACAAAAGAATTCGAATGTTGATCAAGACTTGAAGATATTCATAGTTTTTCAGAAAAAAATCGTTGTGGTGTCGTTAATTACATTCTGTACTTCTTCATTTGTTGTGAAAATCTGTAATAGAAGTAAATGTCTGCTATCGTCGCTTGTTATGGAAACACAAGGATTGATTGTTGCAGTCCTCCTTCACTCTAACTCATCAGATTTCAGTACCTAAAAGAATCAACAGAAATGTCAACTCAGCCGTGCACTTATTTCTTTTTCAAAAAAAATGTATCTGAGTTCGACAGACAAAGATCTGAACATTTATGTTGCAGTAATTTCACAAGAAATTTGTAATATCCAACGAAATACATGATACACTATTGTATACGTAGGAAATTCACGTTTAGCATAATAAAGATCTTGATTGATCATGTCAAAAAATATCAATTTCAAAAATCTAATCATAAAACTTCACTAGCCTCTTTACATCAAATAATCAAAACAAACTCGTGTGCCATTCCCATTCCTAGAATTTAATAACATCATGTGATATCATAATAAACACTTTTGAATTCGTAAGCATTACTGAGATTTCATGAAAAAACAAATTTCCTGTTTCAGAACATGAATATCATCGTCATTTTGAATATGATAAGTTCCAAAATTCATTTCATTCGATGTTCCTAATTTATAGTTGTGGATTTTTTTAACAAACAAAACACAACGTCGCCTGAATAGAATTGACGTTGTAGCTTTCATTCTGTTGCATGACTTTGCCGACCTATTAATCAGATTAAATAGAAACAATATCGGTCATATTTGTATGTTCTTTACTTTTAATTAACTTTAGATTATTATTGAATATTATGACAAAATGTAATTTTTTTGTATCTTACTTATTCTTATTAACTTTATTTTGTTTGATCTATAATTTCAAAATGAATTGAATTATAACAACATATTAATTCATACCATTGACATTTATAACTAACGATGAGTCTAGAATCTTGTGCAAGATTTCTAAAGTTCTTTTATAACATTTAGTGTCGATAGAACCAGTTTTTATTCTCAATTAACTGTTGTATTTTTAGTATTTGCACATATATTAAATTAACAATACGATTAAATATTGAATTTTGCAGTTCAATTTTTACCATAGATTAATCAATTAAAAAATTGTTTTAAAGAAATTTCTCTTCACCATAAAAAAATGCTAATTTTTATATAAATACATAAAATACAAGTGCAAGTGTTATAAATCTTAAATATCTATTTCATTTTTGTGTCATCGTTTGATTGATTCTGACTGTAATTGCAGTGTATTTGTTTTTCTTCTATTTCAAATTTATTAGAGCAAATAAATAATATAGAGAATCAAGATATAGAACAATTAAATCGTGATAATGAATCTCGAATTTACTCTAATGTTGCAGATCAAACGGTTGAGATATGGAAAAGACCTCACGATTGACTAGATATATGATTTGGTTTTTGAGTGTAATTATGCGTTGTCGACTTGAAATCATCGCATTGATTTGGCAAAACTTTTCGGAACAATAGTTCTTTGTCTTCGCAAAGTTTATATTCACATATAAACTTCATGCTACACGGCATTTCAAACTTTTCAACTTAGTTCAACTTGTTTGATTAATAAAAACAATAATTTGCTGGTTTATTACTTGAATAAACAACGTTACACGAAGCAGCTAATTTGCATCGAAAAATATATTATCAAGCATTTGACTCTGATTTTCTACAGAAATAAATAGAGCATGGATAACAATAAAAAATACAACATACAATTCTGTTGCAGGATTTTTATTTATTTCATCATTTGGTACCGTATGTTCAGCAGCACTACCGACAGGGATGACAAACTAAAATTTACGTTTATTGAAAGAAAACATGATAAAATTATTTCCATACATAGTTGACGAGTGTTCTTCTTCTTCAGGGCCACCGTAACATTTTATCATGTCCATATCATTGCCAGGGCCAATTTGACGAGGTTGCTTCAGAGAAGCTAATAAAAAGGAACTATTTATTCAAAATCAGCTATAAATTAAAGGTATAAATACTTACTAGACGACAGACTTTATTCGAATTTATCTAAAGAATAGAAAGGAAGTCAAATATAATTTCTGAAGTTCGTAAATATAATTGAATATACCAAAGAATATTGGCATAGAATGTTCAAAAGACCTTCTAGATACATAATAAAGTTTTATTAATACAGATTTTATCTCATTGTATATATAATATTGTAACCGTTTGAATGGAGTCATGAAGTTATTTAACGAAAATTGCAGAAAACCATTCTCATAGCTCATAACCTTTTTTATCCGCCATTATCAATGATTCATCCCAAGGCAATAGTATTATTTATTTATTTTTATTCTTTTATTTAAGCTTAATTGACTGATCGAACCCTAGTCAACTCTCCCTAGAGAATTCCCAGCGAGTTCCCTGACAAATCCCCGGGGACTCCCTGTCGTGAGTCCCTAGGGATTTCGTTCTTTTGCGGGGACTCCCCGGGGAGTTATCTGATCTAAATCGATGAAATATCTAATTACTAATAAATTCTTCTTAATTTTTTAAAAATTAAAAAAGTTAAAAAGCTTTTTTTTATTTTAAAAAATTTCATCAATTCTCCCCAGAGAAATCCCCGAGGAGTCCCTCAAATAAAAAGTCCCCGGGGAGTCGTTGGGGGAGAGTCGATTAGGGGAAGTAATTCGTTGCGTAAATGTCTCAACTTTCAAATTGACAGAATCACAATAAGAAATGCTAAAAGATCTACAAGTTAATTTTATAAGATATCGTTAAAATGACTTGATACGTGCTAGTTTTTATCGTTAGAAATTGTACAAGAATAACATCAGATTTGCAAAAGTAGATGTCATTGCCGTTCATAGATCATAACAAACGTGTTTGCATTCAAAGTTATAGTAAACGAACAGAAGGAGTCGTTTGTTATTATATCAAGTTATACACTCGAAATTAATACAAACTGGTTATCTCAAGTGAAAATAAGCATTCGTCTCAATAGGATTATCTGATTTATGTCCCAAAACGTGTGATAATCTTTATTATTTGTTTTTGATATTATTATCTATTATATTTTCTTGAAAATCAAGTCATGATAACTGAAAAATCTTGAATCACTTGTTTGTCTGACTCCATATTTACAATTTAACTGTAAACATTCTTGTACTAACTACTACTCTTCATCATAGCTCAAAATACATGACATAGGAGCAGAGTCGAGCTGTAGGTTTTTTTTTGAAGAAAAAGGATATCTTTCTGTTAAAAGAATACAAAACCTAATATTTAACTTCGATAAAAAAAATAGACCCTAAAAACGTTTTCCACAAATAACAGATATATATATATATATATATATATCAACTTTGTTTACACCTTTCAGAGCACTGATTACATTATCATGTTAAATTTAATTTCATAACAAGATCGTTTCTTTCAACGAGCTTTTAGTGACTTTGTAACAGTAAAAATTCTAGAAAAATTAATGTCAACCGTACTATTTGAGAATACAATGCACTGAAATTTATTCTCCACATCTAATAGTTATTTTACTGAAGGACTAAATAATCTGCAATAACATTCAGCAAAATTTTATTTTTATTTTTCATTCTTTGTAGAAAAGAGAAGTTTATATAATCTAATGGAGCAAAAATCTATGTGATTAATAGACGACAAATGTTCTCTTTCTTGTTTTTTTTCTATGGCAACGTGGCGGGCGCTGACTGTTTTATGATACGCTGGCAATAAGTATTGCACCACAGAAACGAAATATCGTTATTATAAAGTGTTTTCTTACTTCGTAAGACTTGGCATTACAGATTTTATTCAAAATATTCGATACTTTTTTTCAATGACTACCAACAATACTAAAACGCCAACACATGCATCAAATGTCTACTTATTCAAGAATGGTTATGGAATGATTGTTAAAACATTTGAATTTCCTCCAACTGAAGGAAATCATAGCAAATCTATAGAACTTCTGGATCCACCATCGAATCCTGTACACGGAACATTTTGGATACAATCATTATCAAATAATAGTATGCCAGTTTTCAGATAGATGCATCATATTATTATCTTTTTATTTAGCTTCAATCAGTGCTATACGTACAAAAAAGACACATACATTTGTTGATAAAGATTGTTGTTCTGTAGAAGATTTACTTAAAGTCAATATTGGACAAGACATTCAATTACTTGTTAGAAACGATGGATCCAAAAGCACGGAATGGATATCTGGTAAAATAAAATCTGTAAAACAAAATCAATTGATATCCGATGATGAAGATAATGATACAGAAGTTGTTCAAGGAAGAGGTATTGGAGGTATTCAAAATTTTCGTCAGTAATTTCTATTAGAAAAGTAATTTCAGAGATACTAATGTTTTTACCATTTAAACATTTAATGATACATCTAATGATGACGTCATGAAAGAAAAGAAATTCTTCGTTTGTCTTCAATTCTGAGGTGGAATATGTTATATTTCAACGTACTTTATTAGATTTATCAAAAATGATAAGCATGAAATTTATCTAATTAAAATTTTAACTAAAGTTTTGTTAGTTTATTTGAAGCTTTCTGTTCATATGTATTAGAATACATAACGGTTGAAATCTGTCAAACCTAATAAAAAAATCGCGATATACGATAGGAATAAATATTTTCTTCCATCGATCCCAAATCTAATATATTCATGTGAAATAATTTTTTCGAGCATTACTTTTCAGTTCATAGCTTTTACGTGTATCTAAAATATATAATTTATTAAAAAAAAATAACATAACTAAAGTACAAGATGTTTAAATTGTTTCTTGCCGAATAAAATGAAATTTATTTATTCGATATAAGTCTAGAAGGGCATGCTACTCAAATCTCGGCCAGTCCATTAACGACTTCCAGTTCGTTGCCTTGCATTCAACAAAGCAATTTTATCTTACTTGAAACGACGGACAATGATCTAATGGCATTACCTAAATCATCTATCCAATCGATCAGAGGTGCTTCACTTACGACAACGTATCAACGTAAAGTCTTCAAAAATTGCCTATCGATTGATTATAAAAATCAATCAGAATCTAGTGATGCAGGTTTAATGAAATATCTGACATATGGTATTACATGGGCACCTTCATACAAGTAAAATCAATAAATGAGATTGAATTTTTCATTAATATCTATTTATCTCCAATGTAGTTTGATACTTTTATCATCACAGGATCCTTCCCTAAAAAGACTCCGTCTGTCGTCGAAAGCTGTTATTTTAAATGATATTGAAAATATGAATGTTGATAATTTATTCTGTATTGTTGGATTTCCAAATGTATCAAAGTTCGCTTCGGTTACTGATCCTATTATTAGTGGAGACGATGTGAAAACTTTTCTCGAACGACTACAACAATGTGAGATTGAAAGTGCACGACCAAATTATAATAGTTTTGCAAATGTCGCGTCGAATTCTGTTAGGATGCAACAAATGGTTATGCCAATGTCATCAAGTACTAGTCAAGTACCTGACGATAGCCAACAAGATACACATGTTGATGATCTTCATTTATATGAATTTAAAAATATTTTATTACAAAAGAAAGAACGTCTTATGTTACCTATTTTCGATATTGAAATACCTTATAGAGATGTTTATCATTGTAAAATCGGTACAGCAAAATCAACAAACGACTATTACGGATACGAGAACAAAAATGATTTCGAAGAAGTATATTTTGATTTAATTTTCTTTTTCTTTTCGTTGATTATTATTAATAAATATTTTCTTAGGTTTGGCATAGTGTTGAATTTGATAATGTATCCGATTTTGTTTGGACAACAGCACCCATCGTCATTACGAAAGGTCAATTAGAACAACAATTTATTGGTCAAGATAAATTAACATATACATTAAAAGGATCAACAACTTTTGTTAATTTAACCAAAGCTCTCGATGTTCGAATACAATTAGATGAAAAAGTGTCGAGTGCAAATTCATCACGATTCGTTCTTTCTCGTGTCAATTATCAAACGGATCAGATCGAAGGGAAAATACTAGTAATGAATTACAAATCGGAAGAAGTAGTAGTAGTGATCAATACGATACTTGTGGGTAAAATGAGCAACTATTCAATTGCACCAAAAAAAGATGCAGTAAAGACTGATGGAGATGTGGCCAATCAACGACATGATATACGATGGGAAATTACTGTTAAACCGAAACAAACACTAGAGATTAAATATGTTAGATCATTTAACAAACGAATATAATTATTTTTTTCCAGAAATTTGCTTATGGTAGATGATGAATTAGCGCGAGAGTAGACACACTACAAAAAACATTTCAATTTTATAAAGCAATTAGATTATCGCCAATTCTGTCGTTTTTTCTGTAATCTAGAAAAACTTTCATGACCAATTTATGTTCATGTTAGCCAATATATGTTTGTTTAGTTTTATATTTTAAAAGAAACTTTGATATTCATAAAATTTAATCTCAGTAGTCGAGAGGTATGGTCCAAATCTTATTTTTTGATAATTTTATAAATTCATCTGAATCAGTCAAGTCTGCAATAAATCTTTGGCAGTTCGCCAGTAGAGAACAAGAATTGGTCACTCGACCCAGTTCTCTGAAAAACTATCAGTTCATAGAATTGTGAATTGTCACAGGCCTTAATAAATATTTTTAAAAAAATCACAGAAATAATTTTACATAAATTAATGTCAAACGAAAACAATCATATTTATATTAACTTTTTGTTGAAAACGATCGAATCACACTTGATAAAGTTATGATTGAGATCGAAAGGTTCTTGATGTGTAGAGAAAATTTATTTTCAAAATAAAATTTGGTCGTTTGAAATATTTTGTTTTGACTTAAATTTTTCATCGAAAAAAACAACAGTTTTACAGAAGAATAACTACACTAAATGATCTGTAATCGAATGAGAACCGAGTCATCAATATAAAATAATCTACTCACATCACATTCTCGTCCGCCAGAAAAGTAGCTTCATAAAATATTTTTCTCAACAATTTTAATGGCTAAGTTGTTCATATCGATGACATTTGATTAAAATTAAACCTTTGCAAACTTGGTAAAATACTGATGAAAAACTGAGGGTTGCATTCTTCAAGTACCGCTTTATCTCATCAAAACGCATATTCAAAATTCTCCATGTAGTATTCTGTAGAGAAACGTTGTTTGATATAAAATATCGTCGCTGAAATCTGTTTGAATTTTTATTTTGGCTCTACTTCTATTAATCCAACTATGCGTTAAGAACATGCTGTTTTTATTCTAGAAAACATTTTTCATTTATTTTCATCCATTTTATTATAGAAACTATCAGTCGAATACATTTTGCGTTACATTTATTGTTTTCCGTCGAGTGCTCTTTCTGAGTTTCAAATAAAAATGAAATTTTGCGACCATACTTACGCAGCTGTTGACATATCTGCCATACTGATCAATATGAGAATTTTAACCTTAAAACGGATGACAACTTAAAAGATATTTGTTTCTTCTATTAACATAAAATTGTAGAATTCGATAGAATTTCTACAGAAATACGTTTTGGCGCCTATGGTCAAAAGCATTGTTACACTAACAGAAGAAAAATTTGAAAAATAAGAAAAAAGAAGAGATAGGCGCGACAGTTAGAATTTTCGTATCTGTGTGATAATCTTCTTCTTCGTTTTCGTTTATATTCATTTCACTCTTCTAATTATTAAGAAAATAAAATGACAACAGCTATTTGTTCCTATGAAAATATTCGTCAAATAACATCATGTACATTATGCAATCGAACATTTAAAGATCCTCGAATACTACCATGTGGACATACATTTTGTATTGATTGTATAAGAACTACAATGCTTGATACAACCATAATGACCTGTCCTAATTGTTTGATTATTTATTTTATATTCATTGATTGAAAATAATTTTTGTTTCTTTTTGAATAACATTGATTTAGGTCAAGCTAAACATAGTGTCGTTAATGTTGATTTACTATCGCAAAATGTAGCCTTAATGCAATTATTACATATACGAAAAATAGATATTGTTCAAAATAAACAATGTGCAATTTGTAATGTTCAACCGTCAATAACATCATGTGCTCATTGTTCTCGGCAAGCATGTGTTTCTTGTTTGGAAGTTCATCGACAAGAAGTTATTGGTGATATAACACGAGAAACTATGGAAATTGAACGAATGAGCGATGAATTGAAACAAACACTCAATCAAACATCGAATGATTTTCGAGATCAATGTAATGAAACATTTCAACAAGCTAACAAACGGTATGAATTATGATTTAGAGAGTAAGTAAGTATAGAGATTTAGTTCTCCATAGCTTTGAAGAAATGCAAAAGAATTTAAAATTATTAAATGAGCGTGTATGTCAAAAAATTCAAGAATTCCATGATCGCCGTCAGGCTGATCTTGCTCGTTGTGTTGCTCGTCTTCATACTGAAATACAAACTATCGATAAATTTGTCGAAGATTCAAAACATTTACTTATTGATGTCAATGTTCAAGTAAATGATTTCAATAATCGAAATAAAAGAATCTACTTTTAAACATTTCCTCTATTAGACGGAAGTGTTATTACGTCTTAAACAACAATTTCAAGAACCACGAAAACGATTACCTATTCTTTGTAAGAAAATAGTTTCTCTCTGTCTCGTTTTAGTGTTTCTTTCGTAAGCTGAAAATATTATATTCCTGAGCATTATTGAAAGACTGCTATTCAGAACATACAAAATAGACATTTTTATGCCGTTCTCTGACTTTTTCAGCTGTCATGGATTGATATACAATATGATAATATAAGATGAATACAATATTTGGTATTAAAAGATTCAGAATAAACGTTTTTTCTTTCGATAAAGATAGGAACTTCCTATTTTAAAATAGACAGCGTATCCTTCACTCGAACCTAAGTATCATAATACCCATAGCTTAAGATACTGAATATGTCAGTATCACTAAGACAATGAAATTAGAAAAGAATAGATATCAATTTTTAGTTCTTCAATAACTAGCATAGCTCCTATCCAAGTTATTGGACAATTTGAAAAGTCGAATATCTTGATTCGTGTATATTTTTTGTACTTGTAAACGAATCAAGTCAAAACTAGAATCCAACTAGACTTCTGACTTGCGAAATAAATTAAAACTCCAGCCTACTGGTGAACTAAGAGTAATGGAAGAGTTAACCGAGGTTGAAGATAAATAAGTAGCTAAATGCTTTTGTTTAGCTCGAGATTTAATTGAATCAACGCCAACGATTCAATTCGTTTCATCGTCATTTCAAATGCTTAATGAAGAACTAGCTGGTAATCTTGTCCTTGATAAACCTGTTCATGGCAATAACATTAATTCAAACGGAACATCAGCTAGTGGTGATCATGACAGTCGTTTGGCTGCATTAACATCAGGTTTGCTTTTAGTTTTGTCAATAATATTTAGTCTGGAATAGTATTTTATGAGAAATAAAATAGGTTCTCGAACAGGTAAAATGGAAATAATTGGGCAAGAAGGTTGTGGAAAATTAGAATTCAAATCACCAGCGGGCATGACAATAAATGCTGATGGACATTTAGTCATAACTGAAATTGATAATAATCGTTTACAAATTTTAACAAGAGAATTTACTCATATTCGAACAATAATTGGTTTTCGTGAACCACGTGATGTTTCATTTACAAAAGATAAACGCTATTTAATTACTGATAATCATAAATTAATTATATTAGACGAAGAATTTCATAAAGTTGAAGTTATTGGTTCAAATAAATCGGGCAAAGGACGAAGTAATTTTCGAATTAAAAATTGAAATTTTACGTTTCTCTTTTTCTTTTTTAGATATGTTTAATAATCCAACTGGTATTACCATCGATGATGATGACGATGATATTATTATATGTGATACAAATAATGATCGTTTAGTTATTATTTCACGTGATTTTAAATGGATACGGGATATTAATACGGGCATTGATACGTCGCCACGTTATGCTTGTATACGTCAAAATATTCTTTATGTTACAAGTGGAACAAAATCTTGCGTTTTAATATTTAATAAAAATACTGATCAACAAATGAATACAATACCTGAATTAACATTAGGTGTATCAATCGATGCACCAAGATCGATTCGATGTGTACGAGATCTTTTATTTGTGACTTCAAGTTTATCGAAAAGTATTTTTGTATTTACAATTGATGGAGAATATCGAGGAGAATTAAGACATGAACTATTTGCAAGACCAATCGGCATTCTTTTCATTGATGATAGTCTTTATGTTACTGATAGTGATAAGCATGCATTATTCCATTTTAGTGGTGTTCTTCAATGAACAATTAATATTAAAACTAGATTAACTCGAAGAATAAACAGCTGAAATAAAAATCCTTTCGTTTTGTTTTCAGAGGAAATTTTCATATTAGGATAAGTTTTCATTGATTTATCGAATACTCGATTATCATTTTAACTAATTAATTAATTGCTTGATGAATTTTACATTTGTTTTTACAAAATTTGCAGATTATGTATCGACTATGACTTAGCGAGTTTCGATAGACAACGAGAACAAAAGGAGAACTATGTAGAGACTATCATCTTAAAACTTACCATGATTTTCATTCTCTAGTGAGTTTACAAACTGTATATCATACGCTGACTTGAAATTTTCCAAGTTGACATTAGTTCAAATGTATAGATTTTTTTTTGTTTAAGTCAGCCTCAAGATAAATTATTTATTGTTTTTCCATTGTTTACTTGTTATTTACAGTCAATGTTTTTCTTCGTAATATATTTATTACAATGCGACATATTCTATAGGATTCATTCGCGCTTAGTTTTATTTTCTTCGTACGCAAATCAAAAACATATTTCCTGCTTCGATGATCTAAAGATTGAGCAATCGTTTAATTTTCATTCGAATTGTTTTACCGAGTTTCATATTTCAACATCATCAGTTTTTTATTCAAAACTTTAACATGAATTTCTGTTCGATCTCAATTAGCTCCACAAAATATCAATACCAACGATTAGCGGTTGACAGTTGAATTTCAGTCCTTAGACTTGTATCTTCAGTGAAACTCGATCAATTGTTAAGTATGACAACGCATGAGTATAATTCTCCATTGCACTGTTTTTTGATAGAAAATATTTGCTGTAATTGGACTTTTCGAAGTTCAACTCTATGCTAGAATGATAATTATCAACTGACGCTTTCTGTTTTTAATAGCCAGTCTTGTTTTTCTTGCTGTCTGCTAATACTAACATGTGCACTCTTGGTAAACTTGTACAGATATATGTGAATTCATTATTAATCTCTTGTTCACAATCTAATGATAATCTATTCTTTTTTATTTTTTTGTACAAATTGAAGATTTGACCAACTTAACTTCTTAAAGCTAATGAAATCTTGGAGAACCGAAATAATTAATTCAATAGGGATTTCAGTGATAATCTATTGGCAAAATATATATTTCTTTTTAGATACATCAATGGTGAGTTTTGTAGAGAATTTTATTTTCAACAAAAATCTTTTGAGATGAAAATGATTGTTAGCTTTAGAATACGGACAGAAGCTTTTATTTTGCATTGTCGCAATTGATCATTAATAAGTAAGTCAAAATCAGAATATTATGATACAAGATTCATGTATTTCGTTCTTATATCAAAAGCGAGCCATAGTATCATTCGTCGTTTTTATTCTTCATCTTCTTCTTCAGACATACAAGCTCTTGATTTATTTATTTTTATTTTGCGTTCGTTTATTCTCTTTCTCTTTCTCTTTTCAAACCTCTATTCCTCCGTGTATTATTCTATGGCTGTATCGAATGTGTATGCGTATATATAAACATTAACTTGAAATTTTTTCTACATTCGACGTGTTGATGATTTAAGTTTACTGTCGTATTATATTGACTAGTCAATTGAGTTTTATTTATTCGCAAATACGCATATCGAAATCAATCGTTTCTTTCTATATTTTTCAGCGCATAATAATAATCATTTTTTTGCATTGAATAAAAAAACTAAAATGCATAGGAAATTTTTGATTATATTATATTAATAAAACATCAAATTCAAAAAAAATATTTATCCACTAAATGTTTGTCAATTGAGCATAAATATATGAATCGATAATCTGTTTTAATTAGTCATCGTTTTTATTTCGATAGCAGATGATCGAGAATGATTATTTTACAATCAAAGAAGTCTCTCTCTCATTTTGGATATCGACACATAATTAACAATCGTCTATAATAAGTCGCTCACCAACATATTCATTATTAAAAACTCAATAATAAGATTTTTTAGTTTTAGATTACAGCACAGCGTATTCACTTCGAAAATAAATAGCATTTTGTCACATATGTCCATATTTAATTAAATTTTACGTATTGGTAATATAGTTGATAAATAATTTTAAAAAAATGAACAAGCAATTCGGTATTGGTTATTTTATACCATTAAATATTCTTCAAGATAAATAGTTACATGAATGTAAATAAAACATAAATAATAATTGAAACTTATTAGAAACTAAATTGATTAATAAAGACTGTGTGCAAAGAAATGAAAAACATAATTGAAAATTGATGTTAATGTATGGTAATCATTGTACAAGTTGAGTACATGGAGAAATTAAATTTCGCAGCCATTCAGTACTATAATCAACAAAAATCATTTTTGAATGTTGAGATTTTACTCTCTGGTATAAAATTTCCCAACCAATTTTTGTTTCGATAAAATCATAATTCATAAATTTATTTTTTTATTTGTATTTTAGATATAGTTGTGCATGATACAATCTCGTGTTTTTTTCTTCGTCATTTTTGTTTTTTCTTTCTTTCTGCTACTCTTGCTTTGACTGACATTTTTCATTTCAGAAGGGTGTTTTTGTGTCTTTCATTTGCCTAGATAAAGTTAATGGCAACAGCCAATCATTTTCAAACTCGTGTATTAATCCCTGATAAAACTTCATTAATAAACAATGAAATTCGTATTAATTTATTATTAGAACAAGCACAAACCTATTTTCATACATTGAATGACCTTCAAGCAACTCAATATAGACAAAATTTAACACAAGCATCTGAACTTGATCTATGGTCATCGAAAATGTTTGAAAAAATTGATGATTTATATAAATCATGTTTAAACGATTTAAAACAATCATTTGAACAATTAAAATTATTTCAACAGTTAATGATTAAAATATTATATAACGAAAATGAAAATAATCTTGATGGAAATAAACTGTTGACTATTGGACAAGAAATTTGTATTTTAAAATGTTTATCATATCAACTTGATACAACAAAAGTTAAAATTGAAGGAAAATTTAAATCAAATAAAAATTTTAATAACGATGAATCAGAAGTTTTAATTGACGAACATGATATTCAAAATAATATAAATGAAAAAAGTAATAAAAAAGATTTTATTTGTCGAATTCTAGTACATAAAGATACAATAAATAAAATTGAAAATTTATCACTTATTCAACAGTTTGTTGAGATGAAAAATGATATTAATAAAACAACACCTGAAAGAATTTTAACTATTAATGGTAAAGCCCAAAACAAGAATCTCTTTTATTTCATCTTTTTCATTTTAACTCTTTTATTTAGGTCCTCATCGTTTAGATGTTATTGAACAAATACTTTCCACTGTATATTCAGCATCATTAAATCAATGTGAATTGCGAGTTCTTCTTCATCAATCTTATGCTCCATTGATACTTGGAAAACTAGGAGATCGATCGAAAGTTTTACGTGAAAAATATTCTTTACATAACTTAACTATTCATCCAACATGTGCACCACATTCAACTGAACGTGTTCTTCTCATACAAAGTTTATCACCTGAAAAAATACTTTCTTGTCTTCAAGAAATATTTATTAATATTAATCAACATACATATGAAGGAGATGAAATTATACTTTATGATGAAATGTAAATAGAATCTAAATTTTATTTCATTTTATTGAGAAAATCTAATCAAAAGCTGAACTGTTTGTTAGATGCTACTTGTTCGCAATTTGAAATAAGATTCATCTCGACAATTATGACAAAATAGTATAAATATCGATTATTACTCGTTGTTTCAGTTTCAAATGAAACAGATATCGTATCTAGAAATAAAAAAAAACTGAATGAAAATTTATTTTAAGCATCTACGATGTGCATCGAGGAAGATTTTCCTCTCGATTCTGAATATGACATTTGTTTTCATGCAGAACTGTAATATGAATAGTTAGAATTTTTGAAATTGAGAAAGATTTGGATTTTATAATTTTGTTCTATAGATTTAATTGCGACTATCATTGATAAGCTCGTTTTTTTTATACATAATAATATCATGATGATATTATTTATGAAATAGAAAAAAGTATTCTAAAACTTAGGTAACTTAGATGGTGAGACGAGATTTAGTATTATTATTATTCTTCAAACCGCACTATACATTAAACGATTGACGATGCAACCTTTTAGTGTATAAAACTATATTTAGCTAAGTAATCAAAAAGCATATATTAATTACAATCCATTGATCTTGTAAAATCATATTTTTTAATAGGTAACTGATGAAGAACCTGAGTTTTCTAACAAAATAATATTTTCAAAAATGTTGACTTAAAACTTTATCCGCATAGATAGTTGAAATGAAGTAGTTCCCATTCAAATATTCAACAATTGTGTAACGAGGTCTGCACAAAATAAAATTTTTTCATAGGCAGTGAAGCGAAAATTAGTGACAATAGTTTTCTTGACCTGCTTATGCAACACAACATAAAGTCACCATTAAGAAACATTAATTTTGCTGAGAAACTGATCAATAGATTATTTATTCAAACGTTGGCCACTCAGTTGACGAGATTCATGAATACAAACTAATATAAACTGTTCAATTATTAATTGGAATCTAGTTGATGACAAGAATTTCAAGAGAAAAAGCTATGTTAAACATGATTACTTTTCATCATAAGATGTAGTGAGAAAATAATTCAAAAACGTATACATTAACATTTAAAAAATCTCGAGCTAGATATTGGATAGAGATTATATTGTTTTCTAAATTTTTCTATCAAAAAATAAAAAGAAATTTTTATGTAAAATTATAATAGGAAAAAACTAAGTGTTATGATTTGATCTTCTAATTTCTATTTTATTGAGAAAAAAAACAAATAATACTAAACGAAAATTATTTTGTTTAATAATGTTTTAGCAATTACGATGCTTCACTTGTTCATGAATATGGTGGTTTTCCTTCATCTGAATCTATTACACGTTCCAATGAACAACATAATCAATATTATGACCAAAATGAAAAATTTGACGAAGTAGAAGAAAATGAAGGTATTCGCCGTTATTCAGCGTTCGATGCTTGGAATGGCTCAGTTGAAGCTGATACGGATCATGAATTTTCAGTAGTTAAAATTGGTGAAACTTCAATCATACGAGAATTCTGGATTAATCATGGTCAGTTTGGTGCTTTACTTGGTCCTCATGGTGTACGTATCGCACAGATTCGTTCACAATGTCGAACAGTCCGTATTCATACAGTAGCTGGCTCATCAATTGATACATGTTCAGTTAAAGTGATTGGACCTCGAGTTGATGTTAACCATGCTGTCAATTTAATAATGCAATCAATTAAAGAGCATGATAGAAAATTTCCTTTTAAACACCATCGTTTTAGTGGACGTTTAAGATAAAATTTAACAAACGTTTTGTTTTTCTCTCTTTAATGAATATTTATGTTTTCTTTGTTTTTGTTCATTTATTGTTTCTATAAGATACACACGCACACACGCACACAGAGAAATATAAATAAAAATTGAAGAAAACAAAAATTTTCATTGAATATCACGAATGATTTGATGTTTAAACAATTGTATCACAATTATTTATCGTTATGTTCTAAAACGATAAATTTATATTTAGCAAGAGTAAAACAACTTGATTTCTATCTCTACTTAGATTGTAATTCAAGTAATTTAACTTTATGTGACTGTTCCGATATTGTATCTAATGCTTCATTTAATTCCTAACAAATAAACATAGAAATCAGATGTTTTTTTTTATCACGAAAACGTTTTTAATATTGAGACAAACTTGTTTCAATGTTTTTATCTCATAATTTTTTCGAGATACTTTTTGATTCAAATCTCGTTTTATTGTTTGAACCTTTGATGTTGTATCAGGTGGACAATGATGATGAAGTGTTGCTGTTGATCCACCACTACGACGAATTAATTCGTTTGATTGAGATTGATCGATATTCTAGGTAAGTGAAAAAGAAAAGTTTACAAGTGCAACTTTTTTCGATGCTAAAATGTTGAATTTACATGTCTTATTATAGTACATATGAAATAAGTAAAATAAAACAACTGTCGTTGACTACATATATTTTCAACAATAATCAATCGTCACAGAATTATCTATATTCTTTGTTTCCAGATCTCGAGTTGAATCTTTTCTCACTAGCTATTTATTTTATACATATATATTATTACTATTCACTAATCATTTAATCGAGCATACTTATTATTCTAATCACTGATTTAATTGGTAAAAGAAGTCTGTTGTACTGATTCATCAAATCTACATGAAGTTTTGTAGCTCTACTACATACTATCTTAACAAACTCAGAACTAATGATTTTGGTTAAGCTGATTTTACGACTACTGTGATAAATGAATTGATCACTATAAATTATTTTGGCATCTTTTTATATAATTTTTCATTTTCAAAAACATACAAAATTAATCATTAAAAATATTTAAAAAAATCTTATTTGTATCATTCGACTTTTGCAGAATATGTTGAAGTGCTCTAGAACACTTGAACTTCCATTGTGAATGTTTTCTTTGATATGAAAAACGCATTTATTGCTTTTTAATCATGGTTGCTACGATCTAGTTCGAAGTAGAGAAATGGCAGAAACCTCAATTTACAGTTATAATCACCATCATAAAAAAACAGTTATGGGTCGCAAAAAAAGAAGAATGAGAAAATCTAAGAAAACAAACATACTCGGCCGAGTTTCACAGATGAATTGACACGTTTTTCTTGATTTAAATTATCTTGAGTTTCTTTAAGAGTATTTCGAAGATAAAATGCTTCGTCATCTTTTGTTCGTTTATCCGTCTAAAAAAAAGAATTTTTTTTTATTTCAATTTCAATTTCAATTTCAATTTCAATTACTTCAAGGTCTTGTAACAAAATGTCTTTTTCACGTAATAAAATTTCTGCTTGACGTAATTTGCCTAAATCTTTTTCATAATCACGTAGCAGTTCTTCTTTTCGTGTTAAACGTTCGCGAATCATCTGAAATTATAAATGATAAATTATTTATCTAATAATCATCCCAAAATCAAAACATAAGTGCTTACTTCAACTTTTTGCATTAATATTTCATTCGTACGTTGTCGTTGTTGTAAAGCAACATAACGATCAGTTGCTGGTAGAGTAGCTAATGGAGCTATGTTTGCTAGACCATCATCGTCGATATCAAGTAGATTCATTAATTTTCTTGTAAACGCATTATGCTAGAAAAATAGTTAATTGAGAGAATTATTAAGATTTAAGGATAGTATTTTTTAATGTCGTTTGAGAACATATTATCACAAGATGTTTGTATCAAGTGATTACTATACTTTGAAGAGATGATACAATCTGTCAAATAATGATCGAATCGATTTGTGTTTTTTTTCGTATCTCAAAAGAATGAGCTTGAATCAAGCTTACTATTTTAGAATATAATATCAAAGTCAAATAGTCTCAAATGTGTTGTGTGCTTTATTTAATTCTAAGTTTAGAAAAAAACGTAACTTTCTTAGGAAAAATCTGAAAACGAAATTCTTTCAATAAAATATTTGAACTTACTAATTCGTCACACGATTGTAATGAATTCATTGTTTCTGCATGTGCTGCTCTTTCTTCAACAACTTTTTGTGCTTCATTTATGCTATCGGAGTGAATTGTTGTGGATGGTGATTGTCGCATTGTTGTTGTTGCTGTTGTTGTTGATTGTCTTTGTGATTGTTGATGAGCAGAAATTGGTGCTGGTGTTGTTCTTAAATCTGGCATATCATTTGGTAAAGCTTGCCGTGCTCGTAACTCTGCTAATTCACGCTTAAGTAAAACAACTTGTTGTAAAACTTTTTCATAGGATGGATTAACTGGTCTTAATTGCTCTAAAGATTTAATTCGTGCTCGTAGTTCATTTAGTGCTTCACGTTGTCGCCCAATTGTTTGTTCGTGTCTTTCGCCTTTGCATTGAGCACCAATAGAAACTAATTCATGTGTTATACGCCCCTTAAAATTTGAAGAAAAACAAAAAATAAATAAGAGAAAATTCAAAAAATATTTACTTCATCATGATTTGTTCGTTCAACTTGTTCAACAATTAGATCTTTTTCTTGAAGAGATTTCGCTAGACGATCAATGTCAGCTTGACGTTGATCAACTAGTAATTGATATTGGTCTACTAATATTTTAGATTTTCTATGCAATAAATGAAAAATGTAAAAGCAAAAGTTCTTTTATCAAACGAAATAAAAGTCTTACGATAAATCTGATTGTAAACTTTCAATTTGTGTTGATTGCTTATCAACAATATCACTTAATTTCGATAGTTTTAGTCTTGTATCATTTAATTCTTTAGTTTGTTCACGTATTGTTAATTCACTTTTTTCCAAAGCTTGCTTCTGTTTTTCACTTAATTCACCTTGAACATCAGATAAACGAGCTGTCATTCCAGCTAAATCTCGTCGTAACGAAATGATTATTTGCTCTTGTTCTTGTACACGCGATTTATAAGCAAATAATTCCTGACTACAGTACAAAACAAAAGTGAGAAATCGGTGATAACTATCAGCCTACCTGAGATCAGCCACAGGTGCAGTGAGAACTGGAACAACTGTTTCCATTGCTACTGGCGGTGGAGATGATGATGATGTTGACAGTCTACCTAAGAAAATGAAATGAAACCAAAATATTCATTTAATTTATGTGAAACTGTGATAAAACTTCCTATCCATTGAATAGACATTTTTGCATTACAGAAAAAGGTAGCATTATGATCAATTTAAAAAATTAAACGATTGCCTTTTTTTAAATAGTATTATCGTCTCTTTGCAGAATTTCTTAAGAAAAAAATCAATAGCTCATGTAGAAACTGTCATAAATATATATATATTATGTTTCTAGCAAAGTTCTATCGTTCATACGAAGCTTTTAGGTGTTGACGTCTGTGAGATATTAATTTTGAATAGTCTCAATTTTTAGCTACTGTCGTTCAGATGATACATTCGATTGAGATAAAAGTTTGTTTTACTAGGTTGAACAAAAAGTTCGCGGTCACTTGCAAAAAACTACGTAATATGTAAACAGTGTAGACCTAGTATAAGTCGATATGTTTTTAAATATGTTGGAGAAATTTCTATGAAAACTTTTACGAGATTTGAAGTCTTGAAAGTTCGAAATATTTTTAATGAAAAATAAAACAGTATGCGTGTATGTTCGGACTGCAAGATTGAAATTGGGAAAATAATGTAGACAACCGACGAAACATGTACTAGTAGCTCAGATAAAAATGAAAGGCAAGAAACATAGGTTTTTATTGTGATTTGATCGATCATAGCTCGAAATAAATCAAAGGATGTTTCATGAATCTTAAAAAGAGGGTACATGTCAAAAATCTTTTTTTCAAAACATAAAACATCGCCTAATGACTTTTTTATTAGAATTTTCGAGTCACTTATTCTGAGATTACGGTTCGAATACCTCAAGATTTTCTTGATATTTTCTTTCGGAAATTTTTTTATCTCTTATAGAAAGTATTCAAACTATATTCTGTCGATTGACGCCATGAGAAAAAAACTATTGTAGAATTATTCTTGTAGTCGTTAGAATGAAAAATGTTTCTAATGTCAATTCGTATGTGAAATACCTTGATCATTTTTATTAAGATTATCAAGATCAACTTGTAGTTTAATACGTTTTTCTTGTTCGTCTCCAAGACTTTTCTCTAACTGTATAATTGTTATTGAAAATTGTCGTACTTGATCTTTATAAGCTTCAACTTGACGACTTCACATTTCATATAAAAAATACAAAAATCAAAAAATAGTTTCTTTTTTATCAAATCTAATTACTTCAAATCCTCAATAGTTGCATCTCTTTCTTTTTCTAATTGAATTAATTCTTCTTTTTGTCTTTCATTTATATTTGTTAATTGATTTTGTCGTTCGTTCTAAATAATATATAGGAATTTTTAAAATGACGAAAAACCTATGAATCTACGTTTTCAGTTAATTGTAGTTGATATTCTTCTAATTTCGTTGTTAATTCGTCGATTTTTTCCCTTGATTCTGTTTCAAGTATATTTAGTTTCTATAAAAATAAAATAAATTTCATTGTTAGAGTGATTTTTAAAAATACCTGTAGATAGTCTCTATTTTGTGTTTCTGCTTCTTCTAGACGATCAGACAATGAACTTGACTGTTCATCATATTCTCTTTGCAATTGAGCTGTTTTTTCACGAAGACGATTACATTCTTCATTAAACCGTTGTTGCCAAATTGTACTAAAATTCGAGCATTCTTTTGTCAATCTGTTTTTTTTCTCAAATTTTTCATACTCTTTTTCGTTTGTAATTTGTTCCAGTTCAGAACGTAATGTTCGTTCCCGAGATGTTTGTTCAAATGATAGATTTTGTTTTTCACGCTCAAATTCTTCATATTGACGACGAATTAAAGCAAGAATGTCATTTGTAGCTATTCGAAATAAAACAAAATGTAATTGGAAATCATTGAATGAAAAACAAATAGTATAAAAAATTTACATAAATCATGTTCTTGATCATTTTGTTTAGGAACTAACTTGTTCAATTCTGAAATAAGTTTAACATGACAATTAAGTGCATTGATTCCTGTTTGTCTAAACATTCCAACAAAGCTTTCAGCATCGGCTTCTTCAAATTCAATCATTTGTTGTCTAGCATGTAATAGAATACGTTCTGTTGTTTGTTCTTGCATTGCATTTGTCTATTCATTATGTATTCATTATATTGGCTTATTTAGAACAGTAGTCAAACTTACAAATATGTCAATAAGTTTTTCAAATGAAGTTTTTTGTTGTTCATTCGACGATGAATATGTTTCACGATGATGTTCCAATTCATTTCGAGATTCATTTAATTGCTGTCGAAGTTGTTCAATTTGTTCAATAATATTATGTTGATCTTCATCATATTCATCATTATCGTCATCAGCAGCAAAACAGCGCCAAATATTCGCACATAATTGATTATGCTGAGGAAAAAGATATTGAATAGATAATATTAAATATTAGTATAAATTAAATAAAATCTGAAATTCTGTCTCGGCAAGTAAATGTGATTTACATGTTTTAGAAGATTTTATCTTCTATATTTCTTATATAAAGTTTGTTTTTGTCAACATTTTGATTGAAAAGCTCAGATCAATAATCGTCTTTTCTCTTTAAACATACTCAGACTTGCTTTACTCTATCTTTTGCATTTTTTATCATACAAGAAAATACCATATGAATGATTATTAGATTAAACTATCTATCAATATATTTTTCTGTAAAATCTTGTGATAGATCGATTAAATTATACAATTAGATTATTGAAACAGTTTCCAAAAAAAGCGTAAAGAATTTCACTTTGATTTCACTTGATATTAGTAGAATTTTTTCTATAAGAGTACATAAAGCAGACTATTTTCTTGATGCTTACTAACAAAACAATCTGACTCAGTAAATAGGTACCAGTTCGTGAGGAAAAAACTAGGAAAGTTTATTTTCTAAATAAGTAGTAACAATAATATTTTCTATTTTGCTTATGTAACATTATTATTCTGAGTAATTCTTACACATTTAGAAAATTGCTTATTTCTGATATTCTTGAAAACTTAAGGTACATCATGTAATTTATTTATCTTTACTTTTCGTTGTGCATCAGCAAGATCCGCTTTGATTGTTGCTTCGCTTCGTTGAATTGCTGCAAGTTGTCCACGCGTATGTTCACATTCTTGTTTTAATTTTTGTTCATTTAGATTAACTCTTAATAATTGTTTTTCTGCATCGAGTAGTTGAGATTTCAGTCGATTGATATTTTCATTTAATTCATTTACTTGTTGTTCAGCTGATTTGATTTTCTAGTTTAAAAAAATAATTATTAAATTTTTAAAATGCATAATCACTTAGTTTATAACAGAAATAGTGATAGAAAGATGAAAACACGACGAAAGCGAAGAAGAAGTTTATATTACGTAGATTTACAAGTTCTTTTTCTTTGTTATGTCGGTCGTCTTCCGTACGGCTACGATCTCGAAGAAGATTGAACTAAAAATAAACGATTAGCAATTATTTTCAATGAAAAGACTTATTAAAACAAATGATGATTTCCAATTTTATCTAAGGAAAATATTTGTCAAGTTTTCAAATATTCTTCTGACATTCGCTTATAAAAAATAACAGATGAGTGAAGGAAAACAAAAGGAGCTATGAAAAAAACTCTGTGTTTTTTTGTCATCTTATACCTTACCTTTGATTGTAGTGATTGTAATCGAAGATCTTTATCACGGCCATCAATTTTTAAACCATCAATTTCACGAGTTAACTTCGCTAAATTAGATTCCTATACAGAAAAAAAAATAAAGCAAAACTCTGAATAGGATATTTCCATTATACTTTTGAATGAAGATCACGTTGAAGACTTGAAATAAGTCCAGAAGCAGATTGTTTTTCCCGTTTTACTTTATCTAATTCGGCTCTTAATGTTTGAACTTCACTTTTGAATGTTGAACTCAATGGTTCTAAGCTACGAAGCTATTTAAGGAAAACTAATGAACGAAGACAAATATTCAAAATACGAATTTCTTACTCTTTCTGTCAAGTCTCGAATTTCTGTGTCTCGCCCTTTTACTTCTTTTTCAAGTTGACAAACACGATTTGTTATTTCACTATTGTCTTGATTTTGTAAATCTAATTCCCCACTGAAACTTCCATTAATAATAGTTCGGCCAGAGTTTGAAATGCCGGTAACAGTCCAAGCATTAGCTATATCAATTAAAAAATTTCAAGGCAAGAATTTTAGAATGAATACATACGACGAACAATTGAATCACGCACACAATTGCTAGTCTGATTAATTGGTGTTATAGCTGATATTTTTTTAGTTCCAGCACTTAATGCACGTGTTCTATAAAAAAAAACAAATGAATTTTGCTTTTATTCAAACAAAAACGAAAAAGAAATGATACCTAAGAGAAAGTCCAGGGCTCTGTTGTACATCAATTTGTTGTTGATAATTTGTTATGCTATTTGATGATCTTCTCGATGGAATTGTTTGCGTTATCATGTGAAGTGAATTTGATGCTGCTTGCCGCGGATAGATTGATGGCATCATTGTCTATAAAAAAATGAGATGAATTTTTCGCAACATTTTTTTATAGAAACGAGTAATAATAGTGAAGGATACTTCTTGTTGTTGATGCTGTTGTTGTTGTTGATGTTGTTGTTGTTGTTTTTGTTCAATGTGAAATTCTAATGGTAAACCATTAAATCCAAATCGTAGAAAGTCTCCATCAGCTAATCGAACTGCTGCATTTTGAACACGACATTCATGTACATAAGTACCCGTTGACGAGTTTAGATCTTTTAAGACAAAACAACGTTGTTCATCATCATACTCTATCAATGCATGTTGATTATCAACGTGGGGACTCTGTTGCAGCAAAATAAAACATTAGATGCCAATGAATATATTTAAAATTAAAAAAACAGATATCATACAGTAATGCTAATGTCACAATTTTCTCGACCAATTGTAGTTACTTTAGGACCGAGAGGAAAAGCATAAGCACCATCTTGACTGTACAGGTAACCTTTCATTTTTCCACAAGCTTGGTCACTGAAAGTCAAGTCAAGATTTGATATTTCTATTTAAATATAATAGAAAAGTAAAAGACAACAACAATAGGAATACTTACACACGCCTGTGAAGTAATTTGATCGATTTTCTTTTGTGTGTCTTTCTATTAAAATGGGATTAAATGTTCGTTGTCAGGAGCTTAAGAAATTTGTAACCTAAACTCCATCGATTTGTTTGCTTGATTAAGCAGCCATTTCAGATTGATCATTTCGCTGTTGCCAAGTAATTTGGTATTTTTTTAAAATAAATTCTTTCAAAAGTTCCCTATAGAAAAAATACATACTTTAGAAAATAACTTGTGTAAATTTAAGAACTTTTTTTTATATATATTCCATTGTAGAGGGCAGTACCAGTCTCGTTTAAGATTATAAATCTATAGATTTTAATTTTCATCAAACAGAGCTTACTAATTATGAAAATCATAATACTCCTATATAGTAAAATTTACAAAATGATACGTAGAGGTTAGTTCTTGCAAATGCATTGGTCCAGTATTATTGTACACCTAGTCGCCGAAATCAATTTCATACTCTTTTTCTTTTTTTCCCGTATTAGATCAATTTTTTGTTTTTCTCACATGCCATGTCACTTCTTACCTGTCACCACTAGATTTGTGCGTATTTGTAGCTTATCCTTGAGTTTACTTTCTTTTCTAAAAACGCAATAGTCGTTGTAGCTTATTTTTTACTTATAGATTGATTTAGGGACACTACTTTCCTCTCTGTTTCTCTCTTATTATCGACAAGGTAATAATGTCGAACTAAAATAAGTTCTTGCAAGCTTACGATTCACAACAACAAAAAAAACGCCAAGAATAATCAATGCCAATAAGTTCTTGTTCTTATAACGAATCTATCGACAAAAAAGAAGGAAATTAAATGTCAATTAGTTTCAACTGCATAAAATAAATACAAACTTTGTTTGGTTTATTTTCTATTTCATTTGATAACAATGAATGACGAATACGAGCAGCAAGCAAAGTAAAAATAAAGGATTGCGTATTTGCTTTTGTTTCTAATATTTGATCTTGTTCAGTTCAAATGCAAATTCTCTCAATGAAATAAATAATCGTCGTTTATCTGCAATTAAATTGAAACTTCAAGAATTAACACGTGAAAAAGTATTTAGACAAAATAAAAATACAACTTGAATAAACACTATTCTTCGTTCGTTAGGCAAAGTACAATGATGAAAAATTAAAACAAGATGCAGAATTTTTACGAAATGAAATAGGTCTTTTAAATACTGCTATTGTTGATATTAGCAAAGAAATTATTGCTCAAATAAATATTAGAAAAACTTTGGTACTTTCTTCTTCTTCTTCAGAGACGTTGTTCAATTATTATGTAAGCAATATGAGGAGAGAGATTAATAATTTCTAACATAAGATTAATATGAAGTTATCATTGAACGTATATACTATCTGAATACCGCGTCTATTTTAATCAGCTCAGTGAAGCTCTCTCGTTCGCTCGCAATAACAGGAAAATGGAAGAGAAAAACCAGCTATTATTGGCTAATTTTTAACGATAATTAAAAACAAACAACACCCTATTCATATTCATATTCTTGCATTTCGTAGCAATAGCAACGCAACTCTCAACAGCAAGACTTGAATGTTCCAGAACAAAATGATGAATATTAATCTGTTCGTTTGCTACAGTCTCTATAGGAGCATAGGAAAAGTGGGCATGGGTAAAATTATAGGTTTAGAAAATCAACAAGATAAGTGTCGGTGGCTTCAGTAAGATATATGAAATTGCATCAGGGATTGTGGCAGACTGGATAGTCATGTACAGACGATCTTTTTTCTCAGCTCAAAAAACAAATCATTACAGTCATAACGATGTTTAATGTGAGAAACAAAACATGAAATGCTGTAAAGAAAAAACGAAAGAAAAATAAAAATTAAGTACTATTAAAAAAAGACACTTCTCTTCGACCATACTAGGAAAAGAAAATAATTGGAGCACACTAGATGTTTTACATTTTTCAAATATTCAATTAGTATAATGTGACTAAAGAATACATGCGAGTTTTGACATAGTAGCTCAAGAGGAGGACCACTGGAAAATGTTTTTCAATTAAAATAATATTCCTTGTTCAAAATACAAAATTGACGAATCAGACCGAAATCTTTGACAGAAATTCATGGAGATTCAAATGAGATACATGCTATAATCTAATTTAGGCTGTAAAAAATATATTCAGATACTGAAAATGAAGTTATAAGACTACCGTTGAATAGACAGCCTACAAACAATAGTTTCATACTTTTGAAAGTAACCTATTCATTACTTGAAATGATAAATAAGTATATGACAATAATTAGAAAGGAATATTTTAGTCAGTTGTAACCATTCTAGCACGTTATCTAATCGAAAACAGTCTTTTATTGATGAAAAACTAAAATATTTATGATTTGTAATTTTTTGAATGTAAATGAATTCTTCTTATTCCGTCTACTTTTCCACCATCTCAGGATTAATTTTAATAATTCCAAAACATCCACGTTTTCGTCTAGTTATCATCAGTGTGAATAAAGCCGATTTTTTTCTTTTCAAAGCATATTCAAATTTGATTTTTTCAAAATTTTGAGTCTTTCAATAAAATTTTGACTAGATATCTGATAGAAAATACCAGAATTATACGTTTAATCTCTATTTAGAAATGCTTCGTGTCAAATTATCAAATTGATATTGATAAATTTTATCAAACTATTGGAAATAATTTTTCTTAATGCGATTTGCTTTATTTCATTCACATCTGATCGATCAAAAACGAGAAACACACTTTGAGCCGATTAGCATGACTGAAACTTGATAAAGTAATATTTGAATAATGACTAAAATATGTCATAAGATTTTATGTTGATTAATATTTAGAATGCTAAAATGCAAATTTTTCGATCGAATTCAAGACTTCATTATACTAATTTAGAAGCAGCACTTCGAGATAAAAAGTAAGCTAAAAATGACGCTAGATTGCAATCTATTCACTTTAAAAACTATTTAGACGTTATGAAAAAGAATTAGAAAAATCAAATAAATCAGATGACTATCGAAAATTAGTACAAAATAAAATAGAGTCCATTGTCAATGCTGTACCACACTTTGAGTACGTTTAATAAAAACAATTCTCTTTCTATTAAATGATAGATTTCACGTAGAGAACAAGATAAATATATTCAACAACTCGAAAAAGCTGAAAATACACAAGTTGCAGCACAAAATAAACGAGACGTAAAACAAATTAAGTTTTTTTTTCATTAAATTATTCATTGTTTTTAGAAACTTGCAAAAAATTTGAATTCAATATCACATAAACAAGCTGATATAAAACAATTATTAATCGATAGTGGAACAAAATTACCTAAACTTGAAACAGGTAAAAGAAAGTGAAATAAAATATTTATTTATGTGCTTTCTAAATGTGCCCAGACATTGCAAATTTACGTTTGGAGCGTGAACATATTTTAACCTTAATTGGTAAGAAAAAGAAATGTCATCGTTCATCAACTATACAACATAATGTAATTGATTCACCTACTTCGTTATTCCCATTATTGGAACAAGATACGTTAGTTATTCTGTCAATCGGTTTTGTATTGAAATCATATTGACTTGTTGTGTTATTTATTTAGGAACGAATATGAGAAGCAATCTTGCAATGAACAGTTAGAAAAGATTCATTATTTATTGACATATTTTCATGAAAAAATGTCTGAACATAATTTATCAACTAATGATATACTATGTTCAACAGCAACATCGGAATTAATATCGCCACTCTATCAACCATTGACACCATTTGAAGAACAAACAATTCTTTCATCTTATATGGATGAAAAAGATAATCAAAACAATACATCTATAAAAACAACAAAAACAAATGAACAATCTATTGTTATTGCAATGAAATTACCAAGAAATTTTATCCCATTAGATCTTAAGTCCACTATAACAAATGAAATTATACATTCGCCGTATTATCAACAAACTGAGATTGAATATAAAAAAGAATTACCATCAGATATTGTCAATAAATATGCTGGAGTTGCTAGAAATAAACAACAACAACAACAACAACAATTAGCTCATGGCAAGAAACACAAGAAGAATAAAAAAGTAATTCTATTCAAATTTCCCCACTCACATCTATCGTTGTTTATAGATTATTTTAAAAATTTTTGCTCTTAAATAAGTTTGTTTAGAAACCTTACAAATAAAAAAGTGAATGAGCTCTTACGACGGCGGCGAAACGATTTTAATTTAGGGGAGTCTCCAAATTTTTTTCAGATGATGAGGATGATGAGAGATGAAATTAAAAACAAAACAAATCTGATACTAATGGGTGGTCTGTTTCTACAACTTTTTTCAAATTAAATGAGCCTCCTTAAGCCTTCCTACCCGTTTTTTATGGGAGGCTTGAGCTTTCCCAAATCTAATGGATCCGCCGCCTATGAGCTCTTATATTCTCGTTTGTGATGATGAGCTTCTGAAAAAATGATGTGAAAGATTTCTCTGTTTTCTCCTTTTGTAAAAAAGAGTAGACTTTCATCAAAAGAATAAACAGCGAGATAAACGTATGAGCAAAAATTTAGTGTCTAATTTTTCAGTCATGATACGTTTATTTGTTTTTCTATCGAGCAACTTGCTTTTTCTAAAAACCTGTTGATGATTAAAATCACTGATAATACTTGTTAATCTTATGATATAAAAGTTCGCACATACTAAATAAAAATTCATCCTAAAATAACTTGAATATTTTTGGAAACGAAATTTATTCTTTTTTTCAAAACATTATAGTTTCTTAAAACAGGAAAAATTTCGTTTTTATTTTCTTTTTTTCTTATTAGAATTTTGTTATGACACATTCATCACAAATGATAGTTTTATACAATGATATTCGTACATCTACGGGTAGTTCTGATACACTTCCGTCGATGCCAATGTATGAATATGAACTTGCGCCAACAATAAAAGCTCTTCAAATCGTGAAACAAAGTGTTGAATCTTATTTAAATGAATTGTCAAAACGTTCGCAAGACGATCTATCAGTAGGAATGCCTGACGACGATGACGATGATGATGTTCAAGATTCAGCTTTGGACACATTTTCTGAAGGATCATCATTCATTGAAGTAAACCATATTTCGAAAGATTCGGCATCATATATTACTCCATCATCAATAAATATGTGTCAAGCACGTTCATCATCATCATCGGATGATAAGAAAACAATTGTTTCATCATCATCTCCTCCCTCATCTCATAATAGTCATAGGAAAATAGAAAATCAAGCTGCATCTGTAGTTCCATTAACAACTGTAGAAGAATTGCCATCGCATATCTCGTTGTTGACAATGCAAATTGCTCAAATCGAACGTCAAATATCTGATGAAGGTTATCGTTCAGTTAGAAATGAAAATCAACAGCAAACAACGATAACTAATACTAATAATTTACCTCTATTAACTCGATCACAAACTTATGATTCTACTGAAAAAGTTGATAAATGGTTATCGAGCACAAAAAAACCATCAACTACTTCAATGAGCAATGAAATAATGCAGCTGGATAATAATATTAATTTTCAAGTATAATTCAAATTGATATATTGATTCCTATTAACATCATTCATTGTACTTTTAGGCAACAGATACTGATGATGACGAAACAGAAGATTTGAATACATCAACGATGTTAAGATGTTAATGGCTGATGATGAGAGATAGTTTATCATCGTTGTCTCTAGTAGCAACAGTGATCAACTTGTTTTATTTTTGTGCTCGCTTTGTTGCCAGCCAGTGAATTTCTTTCTCTACTTATTTTTTCATACTAATTGTTGCGTTTGTATGTAGCTCTGATTAAACTTAATTTTTTTCTTCATTTCTTAATATTGGATAATTAACTTAATATATATTCAAATCTAAGTTATTATTTATAAAAGTTAAAGTACCTGTGATTAATTTTTCATGTAAATTAATCTTTGATTTAAAATATCTTCTTGCTTTGTGAATACAATGCGTTTATTATTTTAAAATGATCAATTATTTTTATTTTCTTTGTTTTTGTGATTTTTCATGTTCTAATTGGATAAAGAAATCGAGGCAATGATCGATTCAGCCAATGTGCATACAGACTAGAATGAAGATCAACATAAGTGTATTGAAAAGCATAACTGATTCTTTTTTCATTTTTATTGGCGTTATACAAGAAAGGTCAATTGAATTTAGTAGACTTCTGATTTAGTAAAAAGGATATGTGCAAGTATCGATAACGAATATTTCTGATGGATTTTTCTTTATATTTTTTAGTTTGTTGAATACATTCATATTGAAATAAATATACCTTATCACGATGACAATATGTGTGTTGTTAATATGAATATCTTTATATTTACATATGAATTTTTCAAGTAGATGAAAAATTTTCATAGAAAAAAATTTGATAATATTCTGATCAATCTTTATCGAATTACGTTTCTTTTTCTTTGTGAACAACAATATTTATAATATCCTCTATTGAGATTATATGAAATCAGATATATGTATCTGGTACAGATTCAGTATGTTAATATACAAATATATCTACATTGATTGATCGTCAGAATTTACTATATATATATATATATATATATATTTTTTCTCTTTAGATTTTTTCAATGAACTCGATGAGTGAAATAAAACGATTGACACCTGAAGAATTACTCGAAAAGCGCCGTTTAACATTGATATCTCGTGCTCGTGCAGCTCGTGCTCAACTAGATTCATTATCATTACTCGATACAAGTTATGATACATGTCGACAAACTCTCCGTCAATGGCGTTCACAAACGCTTGATGAAATCAACAGAGCTCATGAAACATCTCTTTCACAATTAAATGATGCTTATGAGCAAATAAATCGTTTTCGATCAAATTTACTTAGCCATCTAAATGAACATAATACTAATGATCAATTACTATCACCATCAGCACAATTAACACATGTTGAATCAAGCTTAAATACATTGAATCATGCAGAATTTACATTTAATTTCGATCGTGCTAGAAAATTTGAAGGAGAATTACAATTATTAAAATTATCTCGTCCTCAACAACAATCGCGTCCATTCAATAAATCAAATACAAAATGTCGATTACTTGTTCCGTGTGATCGATATGTATCAGATGTGTTTTTTTATGATGATTTAATAACAAGAATTGATTGTCAAACACCTGAATGTATTCTGGTGTGTCCATTCGATTTACTCGGTGAACTTTTAGGAAACGATGAAGAAGTTCGCATTCTTATCGATCAAACATATTTACCATCCATTGGTACACAAGCCCAACGAATGCGTAATGAGTATGATCTTCTTTTACTCCAACCAGCTCAAGAATGTTGTCCACAATCGAGTGAACGTGTGATAACAATTATTTGCAAAAACCCAACAAAAATGTTATCTTGTTTAGAAGAAATCTATACTATTTGTAGTCAACAAGGTAATAATAAAATAAGACACAGTGTTTTGAAATTCTTTTTACATGCAGAAGAACCAACTGTTTAGCTTTTCTCTTTTAAATTATTTTGAACGATACAGATCTTGTATGAATATTATAAAACATTAAATGATATAGAATAAAACAGGCTTTGCCGGCAGTTACTAAATCTATACATGAAAAATGTATTTGCTGACTTTCATAGTATTGAGATTTTGTTCTTACATTGATTTGAAAACTAGAAAGATTTATCGAATAGTTTCTCGTTTAAATTAACATGTTGATTGAATTATATTTTATTGACAGAGATTCTTGGTATATTTTAGTTAAACCAATTGCAAATAATCCTTACAAACCAGTTAACTATAATAGATCAAAAGCTGATCTCTACGGTGGTTATTCAGATATATTAGCTCAAAATCATTTACAAATCAGTAATGATATAAATAGGGCAAATACTTTGTGTCCTTTGCCATTGAACAATTCTTTTCTAACTCCTAATATATCTACTTTATCATCATCATCATCGTCATCATTGTCGTCATCGTCGTCATCATCTTCTTGTCGGCAGCTTTTTGATCGTGTTCTCATACCTGTACCACTCTGTCAAACACTTACAATAACAGATATGCAAGCAGGTGCTTTATTAGGACCGAAAGGCGAACGAATTCAACAATTACAACGTGAAACTGGTGCTATTGTGAACATAGGTGACTTAAATGAGGATAATGGTGAACGGCGAAAACGTACTGTTAATATTCAAGGAAGTCAACAACAAGTGAATAATGCTTTGCAAACAATAAAAAAACTGTTAATGATTGTTAGTAATAATGATGATGATGATGATGCTGATGCTGCTGGAGAAGATTCTCTCAAAAGAGATGGAGAAAAAATGAAACGAACATGAACAATCTTTTACTTTTGATGTTGCTCAACAAGACATCTAGTAGTATAATTTTCTATTGTGTAAATGCATCATTTCCTTTTGCTTTTATTTGGTTTTTCCTAGTCATCCTTCGTTTTTTTTAAACAAAGATAAAAAACATATCGAACATTAGACTTCAAGAGAAGTACTTGTTTGCTTTTATATGCTAACTTCTTTCCAAAGAAAAAAACGTTATCCGTCAGGATCTATGTAGTTATCATTTATTTCAATATTTCTACACCGTAAGAGCCTTTCCTCCATAAAAAAACAACTTAGGCAATTCGATAATCTCGTCAAAGCAGTTTGACAATTGTCCCATGTTGAAATATTAGAAAATAAAAAAAAGTAATAGACAAATTTATTTTTCGCAAAACTAATTTCAAGCAGCTTTTTGCCTTAAGAAAATAAGTACACTACAATTTCTAGCAATGTTAAACGGTTTCTTAAAACAAATAAACCAGTATCTGACAAGAATTTCTTGCAAAAGGATTGACTTTCAGAAAATGTCAATAGTGAATTCATTTCAACGTTAGATGATCTTGTAGATCAATCTTCAAATATGATCTCCACATTCTCTATGAAGAATCATACTTCGAAAGCTAAAACCGAATGAACATGCCTCAGAACTATTATTGATTATACACCATTTATTAATCTGTGGATTTTTGACTACTGTTTCAATCGACTGTGTTTCCTGATATCATTTCCGAACGAAGATTATTTCATTTGTGTAAACTTTCATTTTTTGTAAGTTCATCGTTTTTGTTGAAATTTTGAACACTTTGTTTGTCGATTAACAGCAATGTAAGCAAAACAAACTGGTGCACTCAAACTCATATGTGAAGAAGAAAACAAACATTTTGTTTTACTCGTTCTAAAAGACATTTAGAGTTTATTGAAGTCTGAAAAGTATAGCTTTTCAAAGTATGAACTCGAATTCAACAAAGCTTTGAGAGAATGCTGTCCAACAAGAGGAGAACTACAGTAGATGCTCATTCTAGTTTTGCAACTTAAAAAAAGATTCTCAAAATAGACAGAGAGATGGAACGTAACGAGCGCTATATGTTGACAAAAAAAAACAAACGAAAGTTTTTCGAGCTGTTTATTTAACCCGAAATCACGATGAATCATAGATTCAACTTAGTTTTCTGGAAAAATTTGTGCACTAAGATTTTTTTGAGTTATTTAATTTATAATTATAATTAGTTACTTTTATATCGTATTTCTAATTAGCAAGCAGTTTCCGTTTTCTGATCTTCTGATGTGAGTAAAATCTCAATTTTGAATTTTAAGTAATTATAATATTACATAATATTTTCGTCCTGATTTAAAATTTGTACTTTTTTATTATATTCTGTTCATCAAAAATATCACACTTATTATTCAAATTATTTTTATTTAAAAGTTCTTTTTATCGTTATTTTTGAACAAAACGGTAGAATGACTCATAAATTTAATTGATATTTATCTTACATGCAGCATCATAATGAAACAGAATCATTTCATCTAGTTTATTATTTACGTAATGAATAATAAGATACAACTAACTTACATTTAAAACGAAATTAAATTAAAAGCAAATATAAATTGGTACTTGACAAGCCATAAAGATGTTCCCTTATCTTTCAAAGTCCATAGTGGCAGTCATTATAGCGATTTTTCAATGAGCAATGTCTTGTTGATTATTCGCTATTTGAAAATGTCCAATCTCAAATCATTAACATTAATTCATGTAAAGACTTCACGCAAGTCAAGTAGTAATAAAATGTTCTCTACTTCTAGTATTGAATCAACTAGTTGAATTTCGACAAGCTGTACATTCAAGTTCTCTTTGGCTTTCACTCAATGATTTCCGTTTCTCTTTGTGCTTGCCTGTTACATTGCGTTATGAATACGAAGCGGTCGAGTTCGGTGATTTCGTTTTCAAAACTCTAGTGATTGGCTTGCAAGAGGATGGTACGTACGTCATATCATTGAAGAATATTTGTCTTCTGCGATGTTAGTCGTCTATACCTACCCATCCGATTTAAAAAAATAATTGCTTCTTGGTAAATCTTCGATTTGTTGCACGTACTATCCATCGTGATTGGCAAGCAAATGTACAATATATGTTATGGCTGTTCAGAAACATAGTCTAGAAATTCTATCTAGTGTATATTACTTAACATAGCATTGGTATATGATACCAACTGGGTTTTAACATCGATAAGAAATTTATCTATTTAATAAAATTAGTTTGTTTTCATTATCACATGTTAGGACTTCGTGCAGTACAGTTCTTATTTTCCTTCTCTTCGTCTTCGTTCTGTACGCTTTCAAGTGATTGTCATTGATGAGATACAAACAGTAATTTATGCAAACTTATTAAGAAGTGTACTGACAAATGCAGTTCTTCTTCTTCAATGTTTGAGCGTTCTATGGAACGTAGTGCATAAGTTAGATCGTTTTTCCTTTTCTTCAACACTATCGTATCGTCTTAAGAGTTTATTTTTACACTTTGGACGGGCACAACCGAATCCTTGACAATCACAACCAAGTTATGAGCCAGTAAATGGTTCAATGCTGGCTCTATTGTTTCATTATCTACGTCATTTGTCATTGTATGAAGGTTTTTTTCTAATAGACAAGTCACTGATCAATATGTTGCACGTCTCGTGCCCATTTACCCGTGTACCTTCATTTCATCGAAGACGTAGTGTATTGACTGAAATTCGCGAACCACTTTGTCTTACACGTGACAACTCAACTTTTTCATGCCATCTCTTTCGAAAGTATTCGTAAAATAAATATGAAAATAACATGTCGCTGTGTAATAGAGAAATATCTAGTATATGTCCGCAGGATATTTTTCTCGAACTAATACAGGTATCTCTACATTAAAATTAAAATAAAACGGTCGATATTTTTTTGTCATCTGAAGATATTCATGGATTGTCGATCTTTTAATTTGTGTATTTGTCTTTGAACATTAAATTTTAATTCAGATTATAGAAAATTGTTATTCAAATAGATTTTTATACAGATGAATAATTCAGTCATTCTTCCATACAAATCAAGTCAATTTATAGAATAACTTGATTTGATCATCTTTATATGATTGCTTATATAAAATAGCATTTTAACGACTTTTAAATGCTGTTAGATACAGGAGTAGATTATGAGTTCATTTACCCATACATATGCACGATGTTACGCGACTTGAATAAGAGCAAGGCGTAACCATTTGCTCAATTATTTCCTCACAAAAACTCCTTTGACAATGCAATTGTCTTTTATATGTATCTCCTAAGACTTTACTATTTTTAAAAACAAAACAGAAGCTTTTATTTTGCTCGGATTAAAGATGAGCACCGGGACTAAAAATTTTCTAGTCACGGTAAAAGTTGTCCGTGATATTTTGTTAAATTTAGTAGAAAAGTATTATATGAACTAGCATTTTACACAGCAAGTTTTGCTTTTTCAGCGGATTGATTTTAAACTATACAAGAACTACTCACTAGAGATTATTTTATCAAAAATGATGAACAGAATCCGATTGATTATGGTCATTACATTTGCTGAATTAATTAATAAAGAAGACTTGTAATAATTTTGGTGCACCGTCCATAGTACACAAGACTTATTATGTCTCGCTATCCTATTACATATAGCATACATTTTACAGCGTGCTTCAAATGCCCAATAATTACTTTCTTTTGTAATAGTGATTTTTCAAGATTTTTATTTATTTATTTATTTATCAAGCGTTAGATAGCAATACAATACGATGGTAATCGTCCCAGGTCAAACGGTACGGTCCGTATACGGCCGTTGACGGTTACTTTACGACTATTTTACGGGCGAAAGTTTGCCGTAATATCTGGCGCAGTAATACGGACCGTATTATCATGAGAGTACGGAGCACAAACAGCCGTAAACCATGAAAATGCAGTCCCGTTTACTGTGCCGTATTACTGCGCCAGGTATTACGGGCAAATACGGCCTATTTACTGCCGTAAAGATACCGTTTTGACATCGTTTGCCGTCGATAAACAGACCGTAAACGAGTCCGTTTTGATCAACCTGGGGTGCTATAAAAAATTTAATATATCATATCATTGTTGATATAATTTTATTAAAATATTAAATTTCATTTAGATCAATTGATAGTAAACAAATTTTTTTATTTTCGAACAATTACCAATTATTTTTCCAAATCTTGAATCATTATCAGTAAAAAAAGTTCAATGATTTATATATATATTTGCAATTGAGAATGAATTGAAGAAAAACAATGACTTTCGAAATCATAACCTGAAGCATTATTTAAAGAAAAGATTAATGTTTTTCAATTGCCCAGGTCGAACATTCCGGTCTCGGAAACGGCCGGTTCTGTGGTATTCCGGAGATTTCATGGCAGCAGTATTCTGGTGAAAGGATCCGGTTCCAGCCGGAATCGACAGAAACCTGTCAAAACTGGTAGCTGGATACGATTTCCGGATTCTTGCATCGAATTCCGAACAATTCCCGGTGGGTTCTGGTCGGAAACAGCGAGTTTCTTGCAGATTTTCACCGAAAATTCACGAAAAACTGCTTCAGAAATCATTGTCCTGGATATTCGTTGATAACAATCGTCCTCTAAACGTTTCGCAGGAAATCCGAATGTGGGCCAAGCAAGTGACGAGACGTTTTTTTTTTGATCATTTTTTATGACAAGAAACTGTTTCGAGTTATCTTTTTGTTTCAAAAGATTTTCAATTGTGGATGTTGAATACGGCTGAATTAAATTTGAAGTTGATGATAATAGATGTTGTTGAGTCAAATTTGAACTTGATACTGATGAACGCTGTTGAATCATGTTTGAATTTGATAATGAAGATTGTGGAAATAAATTTGAACTTGATGATGATGAACGCTGTTGAATTGAACTGGAACTTGATGATGAAGAAATAGCATGATTTAAACGTTGATGATATGGATATGATGTAATCAACAATCATCAGACATTTTGAACAAATAGAAACAGAGCTTTTATTGGATTTAATTTCCAATTTCCAATTTTCATGAAATGCTAATCTTAAAAAAAACATATAATTGAAATATTAGAGTTAATATATAAAAATTGGGAGTATTTTTTACTTCACATTAAACTATGTAAATTCGTTGAAAACATCAAATATAACCACAGATCTTCAATTTTATTAAAGAATTCGAAAGATAAATATTGAAAATATCGCTTTTTATTGCTTTTTGTGTTCATATTTGAATGTATTGAACAAAATAAGAATAAGCTAAAGAATATTATCTTATTGATTGTTGATCGAATAACATTGAGCAACATCGACACTATATAAACATATATATATATATATATATATGTTCATTTGAATTATCAAACTAAGAAAAGTAGGCGCTGATGAAAAAGTTAATATTTTGCTTACAGTCTCATATATTATTATTTCAATATACTAGCGCCCACTATTGCATAATATAGCGGCATTATTTTCTTTTTTTAATCTGTCTATGAGTGATTATCAATTTTACATGCCTACTATTGTTTATTAATCATCTTTTATTTTGTATCAGTCATTACTTATTTGCGTTCCAGTACTTACATCTTATTCAACATCACTTGATCATAAATAAATAAACAATCATATAGTAAGACGTACGCATTGATAAATATGCATGATTATGCTTTCTATCAATGAAATCTAGTCATCATCGAAAGCTATAATCATTCATTAATGTGTACTGTTTTATTCAAATAAAGAAGAATGATTATTATTTTTTTTATGTAAATCTAAATTAATTAATATTAGAATTTTTTTCTTTATAAATATCTCAATATAAGTTGCTAAGGTTATTTTTCATTTTGAAAAAACAAACAAACAAAATGCATCCAGCTCAATCAAATGTAGATTTACTAACTACAAATCTAGCTTATCAATTTCATAATAATCAATTTATTAAAAATAAACAAACGTGCTCACATAAATTGTCTTCCGACAAATATTTGATAGCGAAAAAAGTTCGTATTAATATGAATAAATATGGTTATTTATTTGATTCATTTTTTTCTCAACAATCAAATAACAATCAAAAACTAAATAAAGAAATTCCATCATCCAATAAAAAGCAAAAGTAAGTCTAAAGAAAATGTTGTTTTTTATTTCTATTTCATCTGACTTAATTTTAGAAAAATAAAGAATACAAACAAAACAAAAAATAGAAAAGTCAAGTGAGTTTAACATTATGCAAAAGTATCGATCTAGAATATTAGTTAAATAATAACAACTATGAAAGCTTATTAAATATTTCTTTTTCTCTTCCTGTTTACAGTATAAAGCCGAAGAAATGAGTTATGCATTAAAATCCAATTTTATTTGTTAGAATAGAAAATGTACAAGTGTAAATTTTTGCGAGTTGTTACGAGCAATTTTCGCCAATATGATCAATAGTTAGTTTCATTAAATACTAGGAATGATGCAACTATGCATGTTTGAGATTCTTACATTGAAATATTCACGAAGAAACGTTTTGCGTATGAGAAATAGTTAGTTTAATTGTAGAATTCGCGAAAATAAGTTACTTTTTTTACGTGCTCAAATAAATCAGTTCGCAACTATTTTATGACATAAATAGAGTTGTCTTAAATAATAATAATCTATTCCTTTTTTTCAATAAGAAATAAATAAATTCAAAATTATTGAAACGTGAATAATCGGGATAAGATAAACGATTGAAATGAACATTTTCTTCATATCTCAGCTCATATGCACAAGTCTAAAAGTTCAATATTTAACATCTTCTAGTCTATAAATTGTAAGCGTTATTCTATTTTGTATATTAGATTGAAGCAAGCAATGAAACCAAAATCAGAAAAACTGATTACAACATCACCTTCCACTAATCAAGTTCAAATCGGTTCTCCTTCAGATCGTATGTCATCACATATACCAAGAATAGACTATCATCAATCATCTATGGTAAGATGAAACTTCTTTTTCTTCTATTTGCAAAAAGATTAACTTATTTTCATCAATCTTATAGCTCAGTCCCGTGTCATCTTCTATTTCATCGGTATTATCTGACGTACAAAATCGTGAACATGATAATCATAAAATTGATTCTACTTCATATAAATCAGATCAATGTCGAGAAAAAATGAAAATTCTATATGAAAGGGGGCCAATAGTGAATGAAAACTATATTAATGCGCGAAATTTATCGAATCAATTCGATTTAATCAAAACTCGTCAACTTAAAAAAATGAAAGAATATTCCAAAGGTTTCAAACCAGAACAACTTTTCCGTTGTCCAAAAGATACAAGATCAAAACGACGAAAATGTTGTGGAGGTAGTAGGAAAAAATTGTTATCGATGATCCTAAATTATTATTTTATAACATTTTTATTAATCACTTTTTTTTCCTCTGCATAGTTTACTATGAATTATTTAATGATGCGTGGCGTCTACTTGAAGAATGGTTTATGATAAGATAAAAAATACGTCATATTTACAAGGCAACAAAATTAATGGTTTATTTGAATATTTTATATAATCGTACAAGATTTCTATTTTGATAAAGAAAGAGAGCATTTTAGGTGTAGCTGACGTGGACGTGAAAGTAAGGTCAAAATCGAAAAAGAATTTATCGAAAGATTACAATGCATTTTTTAATAGAAAAACAAAACGAACGAGCAAGTTTCTTTTTGACTCTTAGAATGTAGTAAAAGAATAATTATCAATGTAAATATGTTACATGCAAATATGTCTTCTAGTAGGATTTAATAGGTAAAAATTTCTATCCAAACATGTATGCAAGACACCATATTGTTTTAATAGCAAAATCTGACTACATCTCTCGTTTTTTTATCTTTTCCTTTCATTTAAACAGTGACTTAGCATAGACAAATAATGTTTTAAAACGCGTTACGTTACGTATTCTGGCTTTTCGTTTTTTTTATCGGTACGTAAAGCACATAGAACATATACATTGTGTGTATGTATAGAAACGTTCTCATTTCGAGGTCAAAATAAAATGCCCTGAGAAAGCCCGTCGGTCTATGTAATATATTGCTTGTTCAATTTGATGAAAAAAAAACGTGAGAAGTCGATAAGCCACATGTTTTTGTTAAAAATAATCTCTATTGCGCACATATTCGATATCTTCTCTTTGCTTCTTCTTTGTTTGCTATACTGTATCTCTAATCGCGTGTGCAATCAATGCTACGAAGACAAGAAGATAATGGATGAGGCGATGACGAATAGGCACTCGCACACACGTACATATATATGTATACGTATATAACATAAGGTGATCACTTTAGACAATATAATGACAGATTGCCTTTTACATTATATATATTTTTTTTCATCATCACTAATATTCATCGAATTAAAATTGCGATAGGTAAAAACTGTTCATTATTTGTTCTTTTACACCTTTTGTCTAGCCTCACTTGTTCAACTATGTTTTCTTTTCGTGTACAGAAGTTTATTCATCTCTTAGATATATTATATGTATATACACTCCTCTCGGTCTATAACTAGATAATCCTTCGCACAACCTAAACAGTAATCACGTGACAACAGTGATGCAAGACCTAACGTCATCGTATAGTAAAACAACATCCAATGGGATAGTTGTGTGTCATGTAACTGACGTGGCACATGTATATGAAATCATAGGATCCTTCTCTTACTCAGTTTCTTTCTCTTTCGGCGATGCTTGTGTGTTGTTTTTAGTTTTTAATATAATTACAATACTCTCAGGTAAATATTTAATGGTGAAAGAAAAGAAAAATTTAAGTACAAAAAACAATATTTTTCTGTTTTTATTAGACCTACCCATTTTTTTCTAATAAAAAAAGAATCGATAGAAATAATTGATTACATGTACATGAGAATGATGAGAATTCCATGTTTCTATTATAGTTAGCATTTAAGAAAATGTCAAAATAACTCTATTTAGTGCATTAAATATCAGTTTTTGATCATTTATAGTTTTTGTACGAGTGTGCATGTGTCTGTTGTCTTTGTTTTTCAATTCACTAATAGGATAGATGAGAATAGATTTGAACGCAAAATATTTGATTAAAAGAACACAGAAATCTTCACATTGCTTATTGTATTTCTTGTCTACGATTAAGATTACTTCCGATGAGGTTCAAAGGTCGTTCTATTCTAGACAATGTTCTGCACGACTAATGCAATAGTTGGCCTCTTCTCTTGTGTTCTAATTATCTATCTTGGTTATATATATATATATATATTTCTTTTTTCTCTGCAAAACGCAATCACGTCGATTCATATGAGAACAAAACAGTGAGTGAAAAGGACTCGATTATTTTGCTGCTGTCGGTTTTCTTTTCTTCGACATATGTTGCCAATAAATCGTGTACATCGACCCTTGGCTTCTGAATGCTTCCGGATGACACAAGTTGATGACTTGTCTATCCTAGGTTTCTTCTCTCGTTCTTGCATTGAATTCTTAATAGTTATATAGTCAATAAGCAGCTGATAGTTGTGGCTTTTTCTTAGTTGTAGAGAGAAATTTTGCGAGAAAATCGCAAGAGAGCACGCACACGTATGCAACTCGTCGCGTTCTGGCATTATTGATTTAGCCATCAGTAGAAACAGCAACAACAGTAAAAATTGCTATTCTTTTTGCAGTTGAATATTTTTTTTCTGCTCGCTTTTTTTGCTACTTGTTGAGTTGAGTGCCTTTTTTCATTTCTTACTTTTCGCTAGACGAAAGAGGAAAAGGTAATAGTAGTAATAGGGACAAAAAGGATGATGATGATGCTTTCATCTTCAAGTGAATGAATGATTGACTGACTGAATGTGGTGAGACATGCTTAAGGCAACTAGTTGCATAGCACAGAGGAAAAAAAGAAAGACACATCAATGCCCCACTCAAGAATATAAAAAAAACAGATGCATTGTTGCTTGTCAGAACAGTAAGTCGTCGACCAAGTAGCTAATGTGTAAATATATGCATGTGTGCTACTGATCGCTAGTATATATATATATGTGTGTGTGTGTGTGTGTGTGTGTATGTGTAAATGTATTCATAGTAGATTTTATAGACAGAAGACTTTTTTCTTGTTCTTTTCTTTTCTTTTCTTTTGCGAGTACTATGTACGCATCTTTTGAGAACAAGGACTTGTGTTGTTGTGCGTAGCTGACAATAAAATTATCGAACAAAAGATGCATGAATCGATGAAGAATAGAGAAGGGCGTAGAAAAAAAAAGGAACATGTATTATATCCATCCTGTCCATTACAGATGTGAGCGATCGAACGATCGATGAGGACAAGTCTATTACGCTATCTATAGAGCACGGAGGCCAATTGTCCTGATATGACCCATTTTTCTTCTCCATCTCTTTGCTTATTTAAACAGCTGATGCCGGCATCAGCTTATATGGAGAGCCTATTGAATATAGATAAATTCTTAACAACAACAATTTTTCTTGTGAATTTTTCTACGTAATACGTTTTAACGTACAAAAAGGTCTGGATACCGATTTTAATTCTTTCGCTATTTTTTTTCTCTTTCTCTTTCGATTAATAGAGAAAAAGAGAGAGAGTGAGAGATGCACTCAGGGCATGTTAGACCATCGATCTAGGGTAACGTAAAGAAGAATACGACGCCGAGGAGAATGAGAAGGTCATTTACACATATATCTGTTTCTAACTGTGGTTTAATTTTAGTTTTAGATTTCTTTTTTTTGTTTAATCAATCGTGATCACGAGTACTATGTTGACTGAGAGCAACTTTCATCATCATTCTCACCATCATCACAATAGTGGTCCGGTGATTCCTCAACATCGTGCACATTATACTCCCTATCAACATCCATCTCATACAACAAAGTCAACGCAACAGCCTCAACATCAACAAATTCAACAGCAGCAACAACAATCTGAAGTACAACTACCAAAATTTGATTTACACCATGCTGTTCGAACAAATGATGTTTCGGGTATTATTCGTTTACATAGTAGACTTCGGCAACAACCCATGGTAGCTGATACATGTCTACTTGATTCAAATGGACATACGCCATTATATACAGCTATCGCTAGTGGAAGACTGACTATGGTTGATCTTCTTCTTCATCTTGGTCATAATCCTGTAAGTTTAATTACATAAAAATATGGAAAATTACGACAAGAATAATCAAATCAGTAGACTGTTCTTTTTTCTCATGCGATCGATTATTAATCACCGGATATTTTTGATTATAAAGAAAATATGAATCATAGGTTGTCTTATAAAATAAATCAACCAATAGATGCGTATGGAAAATAACTTAATGAATGGGTAAAAATAGAAAATAATATATTCTGACTGTAGCTTTATTTGATATCTGATGACAAAAGATTCTCGAAAATATTTTTGAAAAGTCGGTTCATTGAATGTAAAGATTTAAAAAAATAGAAATTTGAGAAAAATAATTTATAGTTATATCATACTATTACGTAGTGATTGTTGAACGAAGTTACTTTTCTCGAAAACATATTTATATTTTCTTTTAGTATTGCATCTCGGTGGCTCGTGAATCAGCATTAAATGTTGCCATAGGTTTCGGTTGTATTGATATCATAGATTATTTATTAACGCGTGGTTTCCCTGTGGATTATCCTGGTTTTGAAAACAAGACTCCATTAGAACGAGCTATTGAATGTAACCAAGGTTCCGTTGTTGTTACTTTACTTAAGCATGGTACTGATTGGCGTCGTTATGAAGAAAGACGTAAAACAGGTGATATGTCATTAGTTGAATGGGCAGTCGCAAATGAGCATCCTCAAGTATTAGGTGTACTTATTGATTTATATGGCGATGATGAATCTGTATTTAATCAGATTGGTATGATGTAAAAATATTTGTACATAAAAATTTTACATATATATATATATACATATACATAAAAAATTTCTGTGTGTTAAACAACCAAACCATTTCAGGTATCTATAACTTTTATTTCTGTGTGTTGTAAACTAAGTGAGTGGGAGAGAGAGAGGTCATTTTCCCGGTTTAGTACCATTAGTTCGTTTCATGTTACATTTCTTTCTTTCTTTTGTTGCGTTTCATTGCTTCACAATCAACTGATTCGTTGTTTGTTTGTTTGGTTTATTGTTCGAGTTTTTCATGTGGCTTTCGTGCATAACGTTGATGAACAGTTTCATGTCCTGTTTTTTTGTTGTTGGTTTTTTTCTTCTGTATATAGGTGTACATCTTCTATTCTCTCTATTACAGTACGCGTCATTATTCCATCTGTGATTTTTTTGTTTCTCTCTCTTACATATGAATTTTGGCTTTATGTACATTTGATGACACAAAAAAACAAAAAACAATAGCACTATACTCTTGTATATTTGTAAAAAAGCTTTGATGTGACCATTTTGTTGCTTCTATATATAACAGAAAGTATATAGAACGGGTTCGTTTTTGGTTTTTTTAAATATCCGGCCCTTCTTTTTTTTCGAGCATTGGCTTTCTTTTTTGTGTACAGTAGCTTTTTTCCCGTGTTTGTGCGTGTGATTTTTTTCGTTTATTAGGAAAAAAAACTGCATTCAAGAGAAATCACTTGAATTGAATATTTTTTCTTTATTGAACCAATAGAAATATAGATTGAATCAACAGATGTCACTTTGAGGATAAACTATAATTTAGCGATGCACACACATGCATGAGCGTTTATTTTTACCATACATAATAAAGGACAGAAACACTGAAAATTATTTAGATATTTGTTTTGAAATTTTTCTTATGAGAATTATTTCGGAAACAAAACAAACGTTTTTTGCGACCCTTCGAGTTCTCGTTGGTGGAGCCAATACAAAGAAACGTCATCAATCGATCATTGTTCGTTTTGTTCTTTTTCTATCATTAGACAGATAGCGGTCAAGCTCGTCGCGATATTCTTGTTCTTTTTTTTTTCTACCGCAGATTCTTTTAATATTCATATCATTTAAATAAATGGAACAACAAAATAATATTACTGCTTTAACCGATAGTGCTGGCGTTTTACCAATGGATACTGGTGCAATATTTAACGGTGTTCATGGTAAGAAAATTGCTTGTTTTTATTTCTTGTACATAGTGAAAAATATTATTTTGTTTAGATGAAAATGCATCATCATCATCAGTTAATGCAGGTCAAAAAAAAGGTCGCGGTCGCCCACCTAAAGCTACAAGTGCACCCAAACCAGCTACTAATTCTGGTTCACCAAAACGTGGCCGTGGTCGTCCATCAAAAACAGGTGGAACATCATCTCCAGCTAAAACAGTTGCTGCAGCAAAGCCTCAAAAAGAAGAACCGCCAACAGATGCCGATGCAAATAAAAAAAAACGTGGTAGACCATCCAAGAGCAGTACACTAAGTGAACAAACAAATGGCATAAGCAAACCTCAAGTAGGATATATATGTATATGAACAAATAGCTCTTTAAATTAATACTTTTCCATGTAGGTTCATGTAACTCCAGTTGCTAGTACCGAAGATAATGATAGCGACGAACCAGCAAAGAGAAAACGTGGACGACCAGCAGCAGCAGCACCGTCACCACCAAAACAAGCAGTAGTAGTTGCAAAAGTATCAGCATCAAAAGAAGCTTCACCAGCTAGAAAACGTGGACGACCATCAGGTACTGGTAGTGCTAAAAAATCAGCACCAAAAGCCCAGGCATCAACTAGCGCTGATGGTTCAGCTAGAAAACAACGAGGTCGACCAAAGAAAGCTGCAGGAAACATAACAACAACAACAACAGCAGCTACAACTTCATCTAACGAATCAGCTACAACTTCACCAACCAATGCTTAAGTCAAATAGCATTTTGTTTTCTTCTCAAAACAAACATCTAAATGACAATCGGTCCGAGTCAATAATTAATCTCTCATTTTTACTTCTATTTCGTTGTATGTATTTTCTGTGTGCCTGTGTGTGTGTGGGTGTGTACTTGTCGTTCTAGACACTAAAACAAGTCAATTATTGTTTATTCATTCATTTCTTGTTTGTTCATTATGTTCAGAAGTAGTATGTATGTACGCATAAACCGTTTTTCTCTCATCCGCATTTCATTTATTTGCTGTCTATTGTGCTCATAAAATAGATTATGTGCTAGATTTGTTCATTCTTTTTCGATCAAAAAAAATAAATGACCTTTTGCGAAGTTCTAAACTGAGCAGTGCAACATGCTGACGACGTTTTTAGTAAAGATTTTTGCGCATTGAAATGAATTTGTGAACTATGAGTGTAACTCGTTGTTAAAATTGAACTGGATATTGAATGATTCTTAAACTACTCCCTGAGAGCTTTTTTTTTATTGTAACTCGTGAAATATCAAAACTAATGGCACTAGTACTGTGTCAAGCTCATTAGAATAGTTCAAAAAATTTCAACCAGCATTCGCACTATGAAGAATCCTTTATAGTAATGTTAGAATTTTGCATCATAGGTATTTCTTTATGAAGTACATAAATAATGAATTTGTAGTTGGCCTTTTATTCATTATAAACTGTTTGTTTACGGTTATCAAATTAAACTTACCAGAATACATAAAAAAATGATGTGAACGGTTTTAAAAAGATCATGCACTCATTACAGTCAACGTTTGTCTTACCACATCTCAAAATTAAACTATCTTTTGTAATCATGTTCAACGTTAATTGCATTGATATACGATGAATGATAATTTCTTTGAGCTTCAATTGTGCGAAGATTATTTCTGTGATGGGAACCATGACTCGCAAGAGTCTACGCTTGCAATGCATCAATTGTAATATAGGTATTATCAATAATGATAAGATCATGAATCTATGCGATTTAGTTCGATACAGATCTAGCGAATCGTATTTCGACCTTCATGAAAGCGTGCCTGTCATCTTTCGACTATTGTAACAAATAGAGTTTGGCTGATGAAAAAATATGTTAAGCAGCTTGAAACTAAATATACCAGGGACTAAATCTCCCACCCATCTAAAGTCGAATGGAACAGCTGCGGTGGACATGCTAATCTTATCGTACTAAGCAAAGAATGGCTTACTATTAAAAGGTACTAGCTGACTTATCAATGCTTGTATACATATTTATATATATATATTCATCGAGAGAGAGAGAGAGAGAGAGAGAGAAAAACAACGTAGTCAGGATTTTGATATACAGAATTATAGTGCTACTAGAACTAATACTTCAGATATACTCCGAAGTGCATCCAGATTTTGTTTTGGAAGTTTGAAATTGGATGAATAAAAGGCATAAAATGAAAATATCAATTATTTTCTTGTCAATGTACGAAATGTTATTCTTTTATAGTCATTTTTTATTCAATTACGAGAGTCGATTAAATAAATAATAATAATAATAAGCAGAATAGTTGAAATAAGAAAAATATTATGTACAAGTTTACATAGGGCAGAAAGTCTCAATTATATTCTTGGTTTTGGTTTTTGCATTTAGTAATTGATTCATATATTAACAAAGTACTTAGTCTCATATGTTTCTTTCTCTTTTGACCATGGCTACTAATATAACAAATCGCATTTGTTTCTCTTTAGAATATTAATCAAAGAAGAACATTAGTAGAATCTTTGTTGTAGGTTATGTCAACTGTCTCATCATTTCAAGCCAACATGTTTCGTATTATCGATTTATCCTTTGAGTACTATCTATCATAATAGCTATTTCTTTTTTTTTGTCATTTATGCCACAAAAAACCATTCATTATCAATATGGGTTCTTATTTTTCAGTATGTTTGTCTTTTTCAAACAGGAAAACTATCTTGAAGGCCATGACAAATAAATAAAAACTTCTTAAGTAAATAATAAATTTCCCTAATCATTGTATTAATATTTTGAGTAGAAAAAAAGCTGTCAAACATAATAAGTATATGAAACGTGATTGTTTTCAACTATGTATATCTTTCGATCTTATTAAATATGAGAAAGTCTATTTGATTATATATAAATTCAATTTAAATGACATTTTGACATGATTAACCATTATCGAATGTGTCTTCAATTGTCATGCTATCCTTGTTGTCGTCGATTTATGTGTTAGAAAAAAAGCCACATACAAAAAAAAATGGAAATAGGAAAGAAATAGAAAAGATAGAAAAGAAGCTGTCTTTTTTATCAGCATCTCATTTCTTTCTCAAGACATATTCTTTCTCGCTTATTATTGATTTACTACTTTCTTCTTTCTTCTCTCTTCCGGATGCTTTCTGTATACTTAATACATTATTATATATATTACTTGCTGCTGTTGTTGTTATTTTTCTTGCAGGCTATGCTGATTGTTGGGCGTTTCTTAGAATATCAACGTATACTAGTTACGACGAACTAATTTCTTTATTTTTTCTTGATATAGACATTATTAACTGTGACATGTGGATCGTGTGTCTCTTACAATTGTTTATTTTAAACAATATTATTTTTGCACAACCTCCAACTTGTATTCGTTCATCCAAATATTTAGTACCTCAAACACCGGGTGATAATGGTTTTCGTATAACTGTTGAAGGAAGTTTTAAAGCATATGTTCCTGGCCGCACATATAAACGTAATGTTCAATTTCGAAAACCTATTTGAGTCTAGAAAATGCGAATGCTTGTTTGCTATTTTGAATTTAGTTACATTAAATGGCTTTAAAAATCAATTTTATCAAGCTTCATTTAAAGAATTCATGATTATTGCTGTACCATCAACATGGTCTGATGAACAACCCTATCGACCAATAGGACATTTTGAATTATTACAATCAACAAATAATAATGATGACTCAATGCAGGAAGCTGTTATAAGTCAACGTAATTGTCCCGGCGGTGTTACAGATGCAAATCCAGATAAATTAAAAAATTCTATATCTATCGATTGGATTGCACCACGTCATGCACAAGGATGTGTTTCATTCAAGTATCTATTTTGTTCCTATGTGACGAGGTTTTTTTTAATTAAAATACTTTCGTTTCTTTTTCTCTATTCACTTAGAGCTACTGTTGTTCGTTCAGATACAACATGGTTCAAAGATGAAAATGCTCTTACATATACTATGTGTGAAGATCGTCAGTGTTCTATAAAATAATCAATCATGCATTTAATAGGATATTATTTCTATTTAGAAATGCATATCAAGAAAATGATGCAACAATGTTGCGCATGTGGTGAAGCAAAATATCAATTAACATTCAAAGGACTTTGGTCACCAAAAACACATAAAACTGCTTGGCCATCATCAACGGGTAAGCGGATTTGTTTTCGGTAAAACTTGTTTTGTTTTCATTTTTAGTTTTAGCTCATTTTTCAACAACTGTTGGTGCTGTTCATAATTCAAATTATTCAATGTTTCAAGTTGGCTCATATGCTCATCGTGGCTTAAGTGAATTAGTTTTAACCGGTGAAACACATACATTAGAACAAGAATTAGCAAATGAAGTTAGTATTTCTTCGTTAGAGGAAAAAATTAAAAGACATGATTTTTTCATCTCTTCTATTAAATTCTACTAGCAACGTAAAGGATCGGTCGGTTTACGTTTTTTTATAACCGATACATGGTGGCGTCAAGCTATTCGAGTCAATCGAGATTACCATCAAATATCTCTCATTAATAAATATGTTGATGAGAATATAGAATCAGCAGATTCTTTTATAGGTAGATTTTCAGTTTTCGGAGAAAAGAAAAATTCTGTCGTTGTATTCGTCATGTCTTCTTATAGTTTCATTTTGCTTTTGTATTTATTCTTAATGTTGTATACGTTGTCAATGGTGTTTATTGTTTATTGTAGTCATTCAATGGAGCTATTCGTAGTTTATTATTTGCTCAACCCTTAAATATGTCATCAAAAGAAATCGAGTCAACGATGAATGTATTCACAGTTTCTCCTCGTCATCCTAAATTTAGCTTTGCTAGCAAACTATTACCTAGCCCTGATTGGTTTACAGGTACATTAATTTTTGTTTATGCTTCATTATTTATTTAATTGTGAAAATTTAAAATTATTCATGAATGACATATTTGTCTATTTCATAAATAGGAGTCGATGCAATAAATTTATGTTTGTCCAATTGTACATGGATTGAACAATATTCAGAAGATCTCTATCCATTAGATGCAGGTATTGATAGTGGAAATACTTATACGGTAAATTGAATCAGTTTTATTTTTATTAAATGTATTATTTTATTTTTTAGTCAAGTCGATTACCAACGTTGCCTTTGGAAAAAATTCATACAATTACTGCTACTGTATCACCAACATCACCGTTTCATGATCCTATGAGTTCGTATTTAATATCTTAGTTGTTTTTTTGTCTTTTAAGATTGTTTTTAAAAAAATTTTATAGGTAAACCAATGATGCCAGTAGCACGTGTAACTCTTCAACGAACACTTGTTCGTGGTGCTCAATGCCCAAACAATCAACCTAATACACAAAATTCCCATAGAACTCCAAATAATCTTGAAGATTCATCGTCTGACATTGATCTATCACACGAAAAACATCGAAATGAACGATTGAAACAAAAATATGATTATTCAGGAAACTTGATGTATGCCTATGGTAATTTATTGAACATATATGATTGTTTGGCAGTATGTTTTATTTCTAAATATATTTTAAAGAAGAAACATCATTACCAGACTGTCGCTTAACTGAATGGTCACCGTGGTCATCGTGTTCAGTTAGTTGTGGTCATGGAATAAAAACAAGACGACGTGCTTATGTTATGCCCGATAAAGCTTTTCGTCGTCATTGTAATCAACGAACTTATGATATGGCTTCATGTCAATTGACTGCATGCTCATCAGCCATGACAAATGATCATTCAAAATCAACACATAATGCAATGTGAATATTTCGCCATGCTTTGGGCTGAATTGATTAAAGACAAAAGTCTCTTTCTCTTTTTGTTTGTAGGTGTATGGCAAGTGAATGGTCAGCATGGTCACATTGTTCCGTAACATGTGGTACAGGAATGCGTACTCGTTCTCGTACAATGTTAAAAGGTCGAGACAATGCTCAATGTCAACTAGAATATCAATTAATGGAAAAAGAAACTTGTCATGGAATGAAACCTGCCTGTGAACAAGGTCGTTTAACTGATATGATCGAGAAGAAACGTATATGTATGCAACTGATAGAAGTTGGTTCATGTACACAGTACGAACGACGTTTCTATTTCAATTTGGATATGAGTAAATGTCTTGAATTCGACTACAGCGGCTGTGGTGCTAATGATAATAATTTTCTGACACGTGATGCATGTGAAGATACATGCGATATTTTACTACGTGGTCGAACAGGTTTGCTATTTGAAAAGAATGATTATTTTTGAAGACGCAAAATTTTTACTCTTTAGAGGATGGTAAAGACACACGCTGTATGACATTACCATGGTCAGAGTGGAGCGCTTGCTCATCTGTTTGTGGACAAGGAACACAAGTTCGATTTCGTGCATATAAAGTTAAATTTTTAGCCATGGGTTTTTGTGCGGAACCATTGGAAGAATTTCGTGATTGTAATGTACCGTGTGATCCAACACAAATGTATCGTTTATCAGATTCACGTAAAACAATGATTAAAAGTATGGAAGCAGCTGAGAAAAAAGGTACGTTAAAACGATTCGATCAATAAAACGAACGAAAACAAAATATGTTTTTCCATAATTTAGATAAATGTATGCAACCACTGGAACCAGGTCCGTGTACCAAATTTATTGAACGATTCTATTTTGATGTAACAACACGCAAATGTACCAAATTTCAATATGGTGGATGCAGAGGTATTCTTAGCATATTTTCATTTGTACTAAATCAAATCTTTTTTCCATAGGCAATGAAAATAATTTTATGGCACACGATGAATGTAATGCTATGTGTGATGAGCTCATTAGAGATCATAAACCAAGTATAGATTTAATTGATATGGTCATTTTTCTTATTGTAATTTTTTGTTTATTAAAGTGGTTCACGATCCACGTTGTCTGATTTCAATGTGGAGTGAGTGGTCATCGTGTATGAATGCTACATGTCATCGACCAGGTACACAAACACGAACAAGAATGTATGCAGATAAACGAGCAGCTATGATTGCTCAGTGTGGTGAATCTTTGGAAGAACAACAACGATGTACACTTGATTGTAATGATAATGTTTCGAAAAACAAACAAAAGGATATGATGAGTTAGTGTTAGATGAAGGAAATAAATAAGATTGAAAAATAAATTTTTGTTTTGTTTTTATTTAGATATGCCTAAAGTAATGCATCGGCCTCGTAATCCTTGTTGTGCTTGTGATGAAGCAAAATATCAATTGACATTTCATGGTCTTTGGTCGAAACAAACACATCCAAAAGATTGGCCGCCTGGTATGAAGATTGCTAAATAAATCTATAATATGCATTAGTTTTTGTTTTGGTTATTTTTAGAACATCTTCTTCATTGGTCTGATATAATCGGAACTGTACATAGTGATCAATATTCGTGTAATTATATATATATATAGAGAGAGAGAGAGATACTTCCTTCAAAACAAATAGTTCTAGCCGATTTTTTTGAATATATCTTCTCCGCATAGCTAAGTCTTCACGAACTAGTTATTCTTTTTTAGTTTTAATTAAAATTTTACTATGAATATGAAAATGTCTTGTTAAATAATTGATTACAAATTAAGATAGTACACAAACTCTCTAGTAACACGATAGAAAATATCCAAAAATTTAGAATAACTGATAATTCATTCAAAGATTCACTTTCAAATGTATATTTAATTGTATTTTAAAATAGTATGGAATTATGGTGATACCGCCAGTGATGGTCTTAAACAAATAGCTGAATGGGGAGCAATTGGTACTATGCAAAAGGAAATAAAAAATCATGTAAATTTGTTTTTGGTTTCTTGTTAATAATAAGTTCGAAGAATATTTATTTAGACTAAATTTGGTGTTATACGTAATATAATGGTTGTACCTGGTCTTTGGACAGTCAATGTAAGCAAATCAACTGCAGGTGCTTTTACAACTTCGAAAAATCATCATTTCCTATCGTTTGTTACTATGCTCGGACCATCACCTGATTGGGTTGCTGGTACAAATCTATTGATTTCAAAGAGAATTACATTTTTGTTTACGTTTATTATACTTTTTAGGTGTATCTGCACTTGATCTATGTCTTCCTGATTGTACATGGATGGATAGTTATGAAGAATTACTTCATCCAATTGATGCTGGAACAGATATGGGCATTCGATATGACGTAGATATTGATTCGACGTTTTCTTTTTAAGAATTGATTAATGGAGAAATTTTATTCTATGTAGGGTCCTAAACGACCGGAAATTCAACGAAAACCAATAGCACCGATTCTTTCGAGTAATATTACAGATCAACGATCACCATTTTTTGGTATGAATTCAACAAAAAGAAAATATAAGATTTTGTAATTTAATTTTCATCTTTAAAGGTAGTCAACCACCTCCATTTGCTAAAGTGAGTATAAAACGAATTATGGTACAAGGTGTAGCCTGTCCGAATGGTCGACCACAGCATAGTGAAATAACGCCGGTCGTTGATTTTGGTCCAAACTTTGCAGATTTAAGTCGTATGACTGAAACTGAAACTGAAAAAGATATTGCTAAAACAGATGTTGAAATACTTGGTATTTATATTTTTCTTTTTTGAGTGATTGTGTTTAGAGAGAGAGAAAATTGAATAATTTTAGATGAACAATCATCTGATCCTCGATGTATGACATCATCATGGTCAGCATGGAGTTCATGCAATGTTAAATGTGGAAATGGATTAAGAACACGAACAAGGTTTGTTTAAAAGTTTCTTTTTTTTCAAAGTTCACAAATAAATTTATCTATTTCTAGAATGTATAAAAATCCTAATCATCATGAATGTAACGAACGATTAAGTGAAAGTGAGATGTGTCATGCAAGAAGTGGAGAAGAATGTGACGATGAAAATCAACAAGTTGCACCGTATGTCGCTCTTTAAGCAAAACAACGCATTTTAAATTATTTATTCGTTTTGTTTTAGATGTACTGTAACTGATTGGTCATCATTCTCGCCATGTTCAGTAACATGTGGTCAAGGTGTAACAGAGAGACGACGATGGTATATCAATGAAAATTCGCACCATGACTCAAGATGTAAAGATATTCATTTGACTGAAAAACGTCAATGTCAAAATACACATGCTACTGATTGTGGTAGCACTGAAAACGAAGGTAATTTTATGTTTGAGAACTCTGAAAACCTATCGCATTCTATTGACATAAGTAACTTTTTCGAAAACCAAATAGTACTATTGTTGAACCAAGATGATTTTCGTTTTATTTTTAGAAAGATGTAAATCTGAACCAGTTGCAGATAATCGATGTCGTGGTTTAGAACGATATTATTATAATAAAACAAGTATGGCATGCGAACCATTTGCTGGTAACAGTGCTTGTCCTGCTCGTGGTAATAATAAAAATAATTTCGCCAACAAAATGGAATGTGAAACTACTTGTAATAGTCTTGTGGTTCAAAGTAAGTGTCAACAAGAAAATAATACGTGTAAAGATGAGAATATAAAAGCGAATGATCCAATTGTGTTGTTTAGATAATGACTTATCATGTTCAATGAGTCCTTGGAGTACGTGGAGTGAATGTTCAGTAACGTGCGGCCGTAATGGTGTTCGACGCCGTTCTCGAACATTACTGAATAATCATAGAGCAGTTGATCAATATCGCTGTCAATCGTTGCCACTTGAAGAAGTTGAGCCATGTCATTTAAACCGTTGTCGTACGTATCTATTTCAATAGTTATACGCTTATATTGATTTTGTCGTTTCATCTAGCACCAACTGATTGCGTTGTAAGCCAATGGAGTGCATGGTCTTCATGTACAGGTTGTGGGCAAGATGCTATACAAACTCGTATACGTATTCCGGTACGTCGCGCCCGTAATGGTGGTATGCGATGCGGACCATTAAAAGAAATCCGATATTGTCAAACAACTATACCCTGTTAATCAAATTTCAATGTATAAGGTTTTAGCTGGTGCTATTATTAAAATAAACAGAAAAAAATTAGAGTTATCCATTTTTATTTTGTCGTGGTCATTTTAGAATTATGTTAAAAAAGAATAATTAGTTTCGTGTTACAATAGAATTGTTTTTAATACGATTAATATAGAATAAACATTGTATAAGTTTTTCTTTGCAATAAAAAGATACAGCTATTTTTAAATTAGTAGAACAAATACATACATAGATCTACAATTCAAAACAAATTGTTCATTATATCTAGTAATCTCTCGAAGAGAACCTATTGTACACAATCAAATGCAAGCGATTCCATGTTCAAACGTTTTTCGAAAGAAAATCTATCTCGTTAAATCAGGATATCTTATCAATATGCCTGATGGATATTGATGTGAGTCTGATAATGGTAAAACTCTCATTTGAATCGTTCTCCTTTACAGACCAACATAGATTAGGAGCCATAGCTCTATTGCTTTCAACTTTGATAACCCATACCCCCCCCCCAGAACTCTATATAAAATTTCACGGAGTTTCGTAAAATTACTTGAGCTTATCGCAAATAAATAGTCAAGATCATTGAAATAATGACTTTCTTACAAGGAGCAAACAGCTGAAATCAGACATTTCTTATTTTCTTGATTTTAAACTAGGAAAACTCAAAAAAAAAATCACCAATAAATTAAAAGCTTTAAAAACTAAAAAGATTAAATAAACTTAAAAATCAGAAAAAACAATGAAAAATTAAAAGAATCAAAATTTTAACAAATTATAGAAATCAAAACAATCTGTTTCAAGTTGTTTCAGCCTAAATTGATATTTTGGACAACAGAGATTAAAAATTTTATCACTTATGTTAGATCGAGTTATTGATTCTTTTTAAACTTCAGTACGAAAGTCGCACTAGTAGCCCTCCCATAATAGAAACCTCCTTAAAAAATTTTGAACGCTGGTCGGTTTAGAAGCCCTCGGGGCTTCTATTATGGGAGGGGGGGGGGTTACAAATATTCAACTCTGTCAAGTTCAATAGAGACTAACTGCCGATGAACAGCAGTAATAAACATAATGCATAAATTTAGATAATTATTTCTTCAATTATTCTAAAATTCGATCTCATGATCTTGTCGCAATTTAAACCTCTCATAATGCGATAAATATTTATGATAGCACTGTCGAATATTTTACATTTTATATAAAAAATTTTAAACTGGATAGCGACATTTGAACTCTTAATTCGAATGAAATTGAAACGATTCCAATTTGATTTTTATTACAAGAAAATGGAGATATGAAAACCAATAATCATTTGATGAAGCTCTATCAAATAGCTGCAACATTTAAAAACTGAATATGAATCTATTCAAATGCGTCTGCTTTAAGACCAATTTTCATTCAAATTGTTTGATAAACAATGCTTCCATCCGACAAAACGCGCTATTATCTCAAAATGAAAAAACTAGGTAAAATATTTTTGACATCTAAGATGTTTTTGTCCACAGTTTTTGTTGCCTATGCTCTTTATCGTGATTGCTTTTTTTCCATCATTTAATTACAAAATTTCTCAGAACTGATAAAAGAAACATTGAGTAATTTCAGCTCGCAATTCATGTTTCAGTTATCATTCCTACATATTAACTTTCCAGGCTAATCATCGATTATTTGAGATTGTTTTATTTTTGCATACGGACTTTTATTCTATCGAGATATCGGCAACACTTCAACGAAAAACTATTAACGATTAAATCAAATAAATAAAAATTTCATAAAAAAATTGATCTTTATATTAGAAGAAAATAAATTAATCAACCATGTGTTTCAACAAAAAAAAAGAAAATCGATCAATCACAACTAGCAAAATGTAAAAATATGGAAAAAAGAAAAGAATCATTATTGCAAAATTTTTCACCACATCAATCAGCAGTATTCAGTGGTTGTGCAACATTTGACATCGATGCCGACCGAGATGATACTCTACTTGTATCATTCGAAGTGCTTGAAATCAATTCCGACAAGCGTTTAAATGCTTGATCATGATCGGAACGAGCTTCAATAAGTGTTAAAATGCGTTTCTAAATAAAAAGACGAATTCGTATTGACTTAATTTATAATTTCAAATTACAGCAAATTTTTGTGTATCTGGAGTAGAAGATTTTTGTACTAAACCCCAAAGATTAACAGCAAATTTCAGGCATTTCGGTTGATTCAAATCTCCATGTGCTATCAAACGATTGAAAAATTCAAGTGCAAGTGTTGATTGTCGTTTCGGATTCTAAATATCAAAATAAGAACAACATGTAAACGACTTGTTTTTCCTTCTCGTAATATTTACTGTAGTTGCTAAATCTTTCAGAATTTGTATGATTTGTTCACAAATACGAGTTAATCGTTGATGAATTTCATTAATGAAATTTTCATCATTACCATATAAAGTGTCATTCGATTCGACTAATAGAAGAAACAACAAACGATTCTAAATTTCATTTCATATGTCGTAATTTTACCTTTTGGAATGTGATATGGCAAGATTTTTTGAATTTGTGTCGATAGAAGACACAACATGTTGATAAAAAGCATTACACGTGTTTCACTTGTATCATCAAAACATTTCATTTGATTAATAACATTATTTAAACCATGAGCAAGATATAGAACGCCTGCATCTGGATTATCCTGAAACGATAAAATCGAAAAAGCATTTCTTTCTTTCTTTTTGCTCACTCAAAACTAAGACTACATACAGGTGCAATGACAAGTGTTGACATTAAATTTGTAACTGATTCATATAGATATTTATCACTTGATACTAATTTTCCTTCTATTTCAATTTGTTTTGGAAAATCAGTCAATAGCGTTATGGCCATTTTAAGAAAACCATCAGCTAAATTAATATTTGAAAATAATTAAAACAGAAAATAGAACAACCGTTCTGCTCCGAAAGAATATTTCTGTTGGAATCAAATCTGGCATAACGCTTAATACTATTCTGAAAATTTATTTAACAACAATATTAGCATCTGAAAATTTGGTTCGACCTCGTCACTGAGTCCGATTGAGTACAGTGGAAAAATCAGTTAATAACTGTTACAATATTGATACTCAAAACAATAACAACAACTGCCTATAAGTTGACGCCAACTCAAGAAATTGAAATTTCTTTGAAGAAGAAAAATGATCTCATCTCACATGCAATTACAAATGGCATTCATATGCGGTCAATTGGGACTGGTTAAAAAATATTAAAGAAGATTTGAAAGATTCAACAAAACGACATTGTATTTTGCAAACCTTGTGAAAGACTTTGAGTTAAATATGCTGTTTGTGCGCATAGAATATATAATTGAAGTTTTTGTAAAGGATGTTCTAATGATGGTATTGTTATGTAACAGAACGCCATACAAGCACGTATAAACGACGATGTTGCCGTTGAATGTACGCTGTTGACAATACGATGTGTTGATACAGCTAACGTGTTGACTTTCTATGGAATAAAAAAAAACCGAGTCGTCATATATTGTTTTATTGAAATGTAAATTTAAGCTTATTCGAAAAGGAAAACACAGAATATTTTGAATCAAGTCTCTTAATATTAAACAGTTCGTATGGTTCATCAAAAGAATAAGAAAAAAATCAGCTATTTGAACAAATAAACGACTGCTTCTTTTGAAAGTCATTGAATATAGTGAAAAGTCTTCAATAAACTATATGTTTTGAAAATTCTTTTCATCACTCCTGAACTAAGACTTTCGATTGAAACTCTTTTGCTTACGATATTAATCCATTTTTAGCACGAAATTGATGTTTACAATTTTACAAGGAATAATAATCCAACCATTGCCTCCCCCCAGTATACAAATAAAATCAAAACTAACGATAGCAACAGGATCCTGACAATTTAAGATCTCAGTACAATCCGATGTGGCAATGACGCATTTACTAAAAGAAAGATAATTCAGGGCAAGTAGACTTTCAGTGTAATACAGATAAGATAGCAACATAATTGCAAAAATAACATTATATTTATGTGCAGCGTAATTATTCTGTCATCCAAGACTAATGGCGTATTTTGGATCTTACCATTGACATAACTTTGCCACGCTTTAACCTTATCAGCATCCACAATAGTCTATTGCTGTAGTTTACTCCGCACTAATCGTTTTCGATTGCGGTCATTGAGTAAAGGCGTACGCATCTTTTATTATTCAATTTCATCGATTCTAATTAACATTACATCGTGTTAATATCTCTAAACGTCATTGAGGATCTTCTTAATCAAGACGTTAAGTATCTAAAGATTCGATATTGTTCTTGTATTTACCTGTATAAGTGTAATAGTAATTGAATCGACATAGCCAAATAAACCACGCGCTTCCACACAAAACTTCAGTTCCTGTTCAACATCTCTTCCATAATCGACTTTACGTATCAATGCAGATAAAAGTCCACTAACTTCACGTAATTCATCATCATTGGTCAAAGCACTTGAATGAAATAGATTTTAATTCGTTATGATTTCTTTTGTAAAAAAACAAAAAATGAACAAACCCAAGTGTATCATGAACACTTTTTGCACAATGCATCATAGCAGATATTAATACTGGATCATTGGTTTTTTCTTGTGGATCTCTAGAATAATAAGTTTCAATAGAAGTAGTTCGACAGCGCAAAATTTTCTTTTAGATACACTAACTTATTAATAAATGCATGTAAAATTGATTTAAATAAATCTACTCGAATATTTTCGCGTTGAAATAAATCAAGAAATGGTAACATTTTATCCTATGGAAAGAAAATAATGAATCAACGTAGTTTTTTCTTGTTTTCCTCTCTTTATTCAATACCATAGAAAATAATGATGCAAAATCTTGAACATTTGCTAGAAGTTTAATCATAATTCCATGTAATTTTCCATAATATTCTTCAAATATACGATCTGGTGTTAAGTGTTTAATAATATCACCTAATAAAGTATTCAATTCTCGAGTCTAGAAAGTCGCTATGTTGTTAAATCATTTTTTAAATATATTTTTAATCATCTCACCGTATATTCTTTGGATGTTAATTCAGTCCAAACTTCAGCACATGGCATATAAGCCTATAATTAGATATGTATATATAAATATTATGAATTTCTCCTACTCAAAACCAACATTGATATTTGACGACATTGCTGTTTAATCTGATTTGTTCACTTCCCAGAGATATTTCTTAGTATGAGGTTTTTATTCGCAATCATTTTATCTTACACAAGATGATCTTTTTCTTTTCTCAGACAATTAATTAATTTAACTTTTTTCTTTTAAATCAGAGCTGAATTAGTACATATCTCTATGATTTTGTGTTACCACAAAAATCATAAGATATTAAAATTAGTACTCTCTGCCCGATATTGCGTTCTTTCTCTGTAAAAAGATGTACGTTTAGTTCCTTTGTTTATTGTAATGCAATATGTATCACGCGATATTATTTTCGTTGTGCATGTGAGGAAAAGAGCATATGTTGCTCACATGGTAAAGTTTATCGTATAGAAAACAAATGTCTCATAATCACAAATAACGAGATACTCGTATATATAGATTTTTAGTGTAATAGCAATTTCTAGGGTTTTATTTTCTAAATTCTCTATAGTTCGTATCGTAAAATAGCGAAGGTTCCGATTCCAGTTCGAGATCTGGCTCAAATACAAGGCAAGAGCGATTGTTAAGAAACGGACAGTGGGAAATGACTCTTTCACTCTCTCTCTCTTCATAGACATGATTATGTTTTAGATAGTTCAGATGGACTATATGCTATAACGAGCTAAATTCTAATATATCGCATGTTTCTAATGAAGATCTGTAATCCTTCTTACGAATTTCAATATTAGCATTGAATTATGAAGAAATTATTTTACCGATGGATCCCTAAATTTTGTTACTACTTTCCAAACACTATTTAATAATTGAAGATCAGATGGTGTTGATGTCGGTGTTGACAATAGAAGTGATAGACCAAGAGAACGATAAAGTATACTCTAGAATAAAAACAAAATTTCCTAATATTATTTTAATCATTTATTTACCTTTGGAAAATGTTGTTCATCACATTCGCCGATCATTTCAATATATTGTTTAACTTTCACACGAACATGACTTGGTGGAAGTGTATTTAGAAGTGCATTTAATATGACACCACCACTAATAAATGAAACAGAAATTTGTAGATTTTTATACAAAACAAGAAGGAATCTAAATTTTTTCTTATAATACTCCTTAGATTTTTTTAATTTGTTAAGAAATCTACTCTCACTGTTCTCAATTTTATAATTTTCACATATTCTGTAAATATCTGAAAACTATCAGAAAATCATGGGCTATCTACAAGATAAACATTTCCCGTTCTTGCCTTAACATAGTAAGTTCGGATCGTGTTTTATTGATAATTTCTTCCATTTTGACTTCAACTAAGTTATACAATAAACATTGAACAATCCAATCTAATGCCGGTGAGAATAGTGATAAGTAAATGCTAGTTGTTAATTTTTGTAATGTATACATATTTTTAACCGTTGGTGTATTTATTTGATGAAACGAATGACATATATCTGTAAAAGCCAATTCAATAGGTTCACGATACTTATAATCAATATCAATGGTAACCTGTAAATAAAAATAAAATGTAATATTTTCTTCTTCTAAAAAAATAGTTCGATTTAATTTACACGACAAATATAACAACGAGTATAGGCAGCTACTAATGGATCTCCGATGCCACGACACAATTTAACTAACTGCATTAGAGCTATTCGATAGTGCCTAAACGATACATAAAAACCAAAACGAATTAGTTTTGATAATGAAAAAATCTTTTTCTTTTTACGTTGTAGATAAAAAATTATAACATTTAAGAATAGATGCTTCAACAAGTATACGCGGTAATAATTCACGGATAATCGCTATTTTATAAAACCAATTACGAGTTGTCTCCCGAGTCGCTTCTGGAATAAGATCAGGTACAACACGGTCAGCTAAGCAAAAAGAAAACATTTTATTAAATTTTAATAATGAAATTTTAGAAGTATTTATTTACGAATTTTTCCTGTTGATGAAGCACTTTTTTCTAATAAACGTGTATAAACCAGTTTTCCTAAAAGATACACATTCGATGATAGATATATTGAAAACTTGAACGTTAAATATCTTACCAAAAGTATCTAATACGTCTGTAATCAAACAAAATTTACTTGGATAAAATTCCATAACATTCATATCAGCTAATAATTTACAACTCTATTTCAATAATAAAAATAGAATTTCATTTAAGTTATATGTTGTGGAATAATAGTTGTAGAGAAAACTACTTCAGTCAATTTTATACTTCTAGTAAAATCTATCAAACTTAGCATGTAAAACAATTCTTTATAATGTATTGTCATCATAGGATAAAGTTTGTTCTGCAAAGTGTCTCTTTTTATCTTTGCATTTGCAATTTTAAAAGTCTTAAATTTTGAAAGAAGCTCTTTTCTGGAAATCTGCAGATAAATGTCACTTATTAAAACACACATAACTCAGTGTTCTTTACAATATTGTTAAGTTAATTTTTATTCCACACGAAAAATTGAAATATTTCTAATTCTAACTAAATATCCTTGTCTAGTGACTAACAAAAACTATCTTGAGACCAGTAGATTACTTGTATAACGATTTTTAATGTTTTAACACGTTGGTCATTTTTCCATGCTTGACCCATATCTTTATTCATTTCGTTAATTCGATTGACATATTCTTGTTGTGTTAAACTTTGTGTTTGCTGTCCTCCCTGTAAGAAAATATTTTCTTGCATGAAAATACAATTCAACAATTAAAAATTTTACTTCATATGCATCTAATTGCTCAAGACGATTTTTAATTCGTTCCGATGTTGTTGTCATATCTGCGACTAAAGAAAAAGAAACTTTCGTTGATTTTCTTTTTAGAGTATGCCGTTTTAAATACTTTTAGAACTATCAATCATTGATTCGTCGTTATTATTACTCATAGCTGTTGTCATGCTAATCTTCTTTGTTGTTATATATTGACTTAAAATAAGCCCTTTTTTACTTGACCATGGTTCAAATGTATCTGTTATTCCTGGTGAATGTTCAACTTTTGACTCTATTTTTGATGAAATTGCAGCTGCTAATGCACGCGACAATGGATCGATTTCAGCTTCACTTGTTTTTGTTGAAAGAGGATCTACTATTGAAGATGACGAGGTTGTGGTTGTTTGCGGTTTGTTTGCCTAAAAATTTTATCGAGTAAAAATAATTTTCTAAATTTATTCAATTTTACATACAACAATAACACCAAGAGGATGAGTTGTTGTAACATTTGTAGTTTTGTTCAATCGTTTGTGTTCGGATGTATAATCGCGTTTTTTTGGTGTCCATTTTGTTGAAATAGAAGTCATTTTTATTGATACTAAACAGTTCTTTCAAGACGGTTAGATAGAATTTTCTTATCAGCATAGAATATATGACTCATCGTAATCTTGGGATGATGATTGGCTTAAATTTTCTGTGATAGCATCGAAACTTTTTGTTTAGTATAGAAGCTTTTGCCATTGAAAACAACGAGATAATTAATGAAATTTATCAAAAACATGTTTATTTGTTGTTTTAGATGGATAATAATGGATTCTAGCGTCATCTGTTTACTGATCGCTGATCACATAAGTATGAAAAACGTTACGATAAACAGTTTTAGTTTATAATTAGTGGAGAACCATTTGGTTCAAAAACTAAAACTAAAATAAAATAATTTGAATTATTTCTACTAATATTTGAATCATATTGATCGCAGTTTATTAACACTCAACAAGAACCAAAATTTGTATCAGTCGAATCAAGTGTCAAAATGAACATTATAATTGAAAATTACGATCAGTGTTTGTCATTAATTAATCACTTATACTTTCTTTTGGCGTTAGAACATTATGTTATGCGAATATAATGTCACACCCACCGTCAAGTACTTCGAAAAAACGAATCAATATTACGCGTCTGGTTACTATGCACGAAGAAAGAAGTGTTCTTAATGATAGAGGCTTTTAGACTCAATGATGAAAATGTGTTGCATTGGCAGATGTGACCTCAGCTGTTTGCTTTACAATCATTCATAATTTTGTTTCGTATGTAGAAACAGCACAATTGATGATGTTGCATCTCATAGATTTCCGCACGTTGTATTCTCTAGATTATTCCGTAATCGATCATCATTAGAGAATATGTTGAAAGATCAAATGAGAATGAATCACGTAGAAATGACAATGATTAAGATCAAACGTATTCGAAATATATTGATATGAGATATTTCACCATCTTGTATTGCGAAAATCTAGGTCCTGTTTATCTGAACTATACTAAAAAAACAATAATCATCACGCCCTTTAGGAAAAAATGTGATAAAAACAAGACTTTATTCGTAAAATGTCACAAACAACGAAGTATTTTGCGAATTACTGTGCTGTACATAACGTCGTATAATACGGTACATTCTTTGCTCAAACTTAATACCATTGTCAATAGACATCAGTTCACAAAAGAATACTGTGACACGCGAGCTTTCGATATCATTCTAGAATGTTTTTTTTCTTCTCTGTAATAATGAAATAAAATTATTTTTTAGACTTTCTTATCTTTTATACCTAACTAAATTTACATATTACATTTGATTTTCATTTATTAAATAATTTAGTTGTATGCATTGAACATGTTTTTATGTTGAATTTGGCACAGCAAGATATTTTATTATCGAACTTTCATTTTATTATTTCGCATCTGATTTCATGTAGTTTATTTTTGACTATGTTAGGCTAATTAGGTACGATGATTGACATCCTTGAAAATTTGTATAATTTCCACAGTTGCACGACAAGTATATACACATTATTATTTACATATACGCGAATCATTTGTCGTTCTACGGCATAAATAAATGTGTATGTCATATAATTCTACAACGAAACGCTTGTACTATGATAATTACTATTAAATAGGAACAGATTTCAAACTACAAAACACGATAGCGAATAATATATTTTAAAAAGAATGTTTGTCTTGTGATAGGTATTTTTGAAAATAAGCGACCTCCGTAATAAATCTTCATGATTGATTTTTTTAATGTAGCCACACAATATCGTGTTACATTTTTTTTGTAAAAACGATTCTCTCAATAAAAATAATAAATGCGTAATAGAAACATTTTGACCCCTGACAGTCCTTCACGAAAGCTGATTCAGTACTATGCAAATAAAATATCACCAACAAGCCGATTTTCTCTTATTTTTCTTTAGCCTATTTGATAATATTCACTCGTATTTTATTGCTGTCAAAAATACGGATTAAAATAAAGAGCAAAACTGACACTTGATATATAGGTGCGAAATATTTTAGCAAGACAAGATAGGAAACATCTATATGATAATTTTATTTTCTCCCCGAGTTTGATGTTTCTTTGCTGAAAAGATGTTCTTTTACATTAACAATATTAAAAATATTTAGTCCAGAAAAAAAACAAGATTTTCTTTTTTTCATTACTTGACACGAATCATGCCTTGCAACGTCGTCTACTTGAACACTTTTTTAATCAGAAAGTATTTGCGTCACTAAATAATAAATGGAGCGCCTGATAATTCCAAAGATCACTTTTTTTTGCGTTCTGTTTATTGACTTAAGTAGTTTTTGATCACATTCCACATCACTCGTAAGTGAAGGAAAAATAATGTCAACAGTGTGTTTTCAACATTGTAACGATCGATAGATCTAACCGCAGCTGAAAAGAAAATTGTTAGCTGTATTCACTAATTAAACTATGAATACCATTTTTATTTACTACATCGATAATATAGGTTTTGTTTTGCGCACTATGACTTTCAATCGGTCATAAAATATTATTGTTATCTTTTCAAATACAGCTGAAGAGAAAGCAAAAAGAACAATAAATCACATATGTAAAATTTTCGCATCGCCCCTCCCCCGGATATTTTATACTGTTGGCTGTATCTTCGATTCGGAAGAATAATTTCTCAATATACAATAGTTATTTTTGTACATTCGTAGGAGCAAGAAAAAAAAAGAACGACGCAAAATATTGAACTCGGTCGGCTCGTGCTTTGTACTGATGAAGTTTATTGATCACGCATGTAACCACTGATGATGCGTAGTTTCTGCAGCCGAACACGATGGAGAGAAGGAAAGAGTAACAAGAAAAGCATGTAGTCAGAGCGTGATAGCATCACCCGACTTTCTCTCTTCTTCTCTCTCTCTATCTACCCTATAAATACTGAGGGCAAAAATGCTTTGTAAACCTTATTTGATTTTAGTTTTTGTGAGTCTAACTTTATTCAAGCAAACGAATTTGTGAAAAAATTCGTCTGATATTCTTATAAAACAAGAACAGGTAAATGGACGTGTAAATAGCGATAAGAGTAAAGTTAGTAAAAAAGGTGTGCTAGCTACGCTTTCCTTGATAGGAATTTCATGCATGCATGCTCTTATACCGATAAAAAGAATTTTAATGAAATGAAATGAAAATAAACAGCAAACTAATGATGAATTTTGTTTTTCCTTGTTGTGCTATTTTGACCTTCAGACTGACCAATCATAATTTGAGTTTGTCGCTGACTATACAATCCAAAGTTCGTCATGTTTTTTTGTGCCGACGAGCCACTGAATCAAGTACAATTTCTCTTATCATCGTATAGACCATATACTTAATGCATGTCATCATCTGTTACAAACATTGATTGCATGAATCTGCTGAGTTTTACCACCAATCGTCTTTTTTCATATTCTCATCTAATGTGCATGACAGTGCTAGAAGAAACGAGAATAGAAAGGACAAAATGCAGCGTGCAATGCGCGTGATAGCTGTAGATGCTTCTATTTTCTCTCGAATAATGTTTTCTATGTGAATGAATTACAAAGACACAAACTAGAAGAAAAAAACAAGTACACGCGCGAGAGAGAGAAACATAGATTTACTATACTATAAATATCGGCGTTTAAGATATTGTAAGAAAAAGTTCGGTACATATTGTTATTATTAATTTAGGTTAACTAAATCTACTTTCGAAAACAAAAATGCCATCAATTGATTCAAGCGACATTTACTATCCATTTGCATGGATTAAAACAACAACAGATCTCTTTTTCAATTTATTCAATACTGCTCAAAAAACTAAACGTTCTCTTCCCGAAGAAGCCGAATGTGGTTCTTTAGACGGTATTAGATGTTGGATACGTGAAGGTACTAAGAAAATATAAAATAAATGAATGTTTATCTAGATTTTCATTTTCCTATTTATCAGGTGCAGATATTGATGCAGCTGATGCATATGGTTACACACCATTAATTAATGCTGCGATGCTCGGTAGAGCTGATATTGTTAAGGTTTTAATTGATGCTGGAGCTGATATACAAAAGCCAGGCCAATTTGGTTATACGGCGTTACACGCTGCGGCTCAAAATGGTCATTTAGAAGTTGTTCAAACACTTGTTAAATATGGAGCAAGCGTTAATTGTAAAAATGAGGATGGAGACATCCCACTGATTCTTGGTAAGGCTAAAACAACAAAAACAAAATCTTTTTTATTTATTTATTTATCTACCTACCTACTTTTCTTTACAGCTGTTCGTGGTACACACGCTGAAATTATTGATTATTTATTAAAATCTGGTTCGGATATACATCAAAATGGTTGGCTTGGAAAATCGGCTGTTTTCACAGCTAGTAAGTTTGATTGTGATGATTTGTAAGTATTTAATTTTTATTATCATTTTATAGTTGCTACTGGTGATCAAGCAACAGCCGATACATTATTAAATCGTGAAATGGCTATTGGATGTTCATCATCCGAATCACATCGTCATGCTCGCGAACATCTTCGCCAATCATCAACATCAGTAGACGATTGAAATTTCTAGAACTCTTTGAATTATAACTTCATTTGGCTTGAGAAAACCAAAGCAGAAACACAAAGACCAGCCAGCCAGCGCGGTCACAATGCTTTTTTTTTAAATATACGCATCAGTCAAACATCCTTAGCTCCAGCAATATCTTCTCAGTTTTTACCTTGACTCGTAGTGAGCAGTGTTGATTGTCATCTTATCAGGTACTCATGAACAGTGTCTTGTTGTTTTTTCTTCCTTTCTTTCGCTCGTTCATTACTTTTCCCCTCTTCGGTGTGTACATAAGAATGACGGAGGTTATTGTTGTTGTTTGTTGCTCTTTTTTTCTGTTATAGTCTTTTTTTCTTCTCTCTTACCAACTTTGTAGTATATGTTTTTATTTGCCAACTGTACATAGCACCTGGTTTTCTTTTCTGTCTTATTCATCATGCAACGATTTAACATATGTTGGATGATCACATATAACAATATACATTTATTTTAAACAGGATAGAAGAAAGAAAAAAGTCAACTAGCTGTTCTTTTTTTATGAACTAATCTGGCATTTATATAATTCTCATATTTTCTATTTTTTTTTGTTGGACTGCTGTACATAAAAAAGAAAGCATTCAATACGCGCGAAAATTTATATATTTGTGTTAGCATTAGATGGAAATAAAGATAAAATTATGATTTTAAATAATTTTTCATACCTTTCCAATAATTCTTTAATGAGAAATTAAAGCTTTTTTTTATGTTTTTCTATGATAACATATAATAGATTTTCATTCATCTTGTTTTTTTTACACATTTATTTCGAGAAGAAAAGCATCGACGAAAACGAAAAGACGAACGACACATAAATAAGAAGAAGAAAAATATATATGTATATGTAAAGTATTTGTTGATGCGAGTATATTGTTCAATATTAAAAAAAAAAACGAACTTTTTGTTTAGAACAATATGTAGAGCAGATCATCAATAGGAAATAAACCATAATAAGTTATTTAAAATCTATAAATTTAGTACCAAGTAAAAACATCAGCAGTTTGTCCATGTTGATTGGCACGGTTTTTAACTGCTATATAAGATATTAAACCACGAACAAAAAGAAAAAACCCGGCAAATAAAACAATGGCAAAAACAAAATTTTGTGCTGGATCATGAACTGCTGTTCGATGGAATGTTGGTGACAGATTATTATTTGATGCACCGTATGAATTATTACTCAATTCATGATAACGCATCACTGTAATCCATTTAGCAACACTTAAACCAAAGCCTGACATGGCACCAAAACGTGCAGCTATTGTTGGTATCAGACAAACAACAGCGAGAAATCCGAGCCAATTGAAAAAGAAAGCAATGACACTTTAGAAAAGAAATATTTAGAAATAATAACAAAAAATAAATAAACGTATTAACTTACAAAGCCATTAAAAATGTACAATCAGTACCTATATCCATATTTGAGCCGGATGAAAGCCAAGCAGCAACGGCCGCTTGGTTCTGATGACGAGACGACTAGTAAAATCGAATAAAGTTTTGTATCGAAAATAGATATTCCGTATAGATTTACCTGCTCATGACCAAGATTACTGTTCGACGTAAGATCTATGATTTCTGCAGGTGATATATGTGGATAATGTGGTAGATGATCTGTATTTCGAATTTTACTCGGATCTACAAGACAATAGGGTGGTGGTGGTTCAATGACGCCAGCTACTGCAGCAACATTTTCAGGTTCAGTACCACTTCGAGGGTTGATGGATGCCGGATTAATTTCATATGCTGGTGGTGGTTCATCTATTTAACAGAAAACAAAACGATTAAAATTCAGGATTATTTGAAAATTATGTAGAATATATCAGTAGAATATTTTGAAGGAATTATTAGAATGAAAATAAAAGATTTTTCAGTACCCATACAGCTAATTCTAACATTTGGAAACGTCGTGAATCGATAAAACATGAAAATAATAATCTCAAACTGAGTTTCCGGTGATTTTGTATCGTAATTAACATAATACTAGTTGGAAGTCACATAGTAGAATTCGAAAGCTTTCCGGTTTCTAACAACTGCTTTTATGAATTTCCGTTCAGATTATTTTCTCATGCTTTGAATATGAATCTAATCTGTCAATACTTTCATTAGAAGCAGAACAAATCAGGTGACGGGAACGCAGACGATCAGTGCTCATAATTATTTCTAAAAATAGTCGATTGACTGTATATATATATATATATAGCTTACCAAGTGGAGTGGCTTGTATTGTCGCAGGTACTTCTATCACTTCATGAATAGGCGCAGCTGTTGTTGTCGATAGCTCGATTACCACTGTTCCTTGACTTGAACTATTATTACTCATTGTATATAGATCGTGAAATGCAAAAAACAGAAAATATCTAAAATTAAATCATTAATTATCATATTGAAGTATATATAAAAAAAATCGAAAAAACATTTTTATTAATTTCCTTCTTATCTAGTAATATTTTTTCTTTTGATTCAATTATCGAACAAGATCTTTTAGAAAAATAATGTATACATATATAAAGCAAAGCAACTGAAAAACAAAAGAATGCTTATTTTGTTTGTATAGAATAAGAGTCGCAAGAAATAAGTCGATATATAAAACAAAACGAAAAAGAAAAGATGGACAAACACAATCTGATTGCAACAAATAAGAAAAAAAAACGAAAGATATTACTTTGTACAAAAACACAAAGAAAATGGAAGAAAAAAACTGACCTGAATTGAACTCGTACGAACGAGAAAGAACAACAGTCAAAATAAGAATCACTGTATTCACAAAATAAAACTATTAATATTCATGTATTACTTATGTGTTGTTGTTCCATTAGCATTCGTTGTATTGGAAATACAGGAACTTGAACTATGTGAATGTTGTAAACTGATCACTGAGGCACGATTATTATTATAATGGGAATTTCGTGATAAAATTTGTTTCTCATGTGGAGATAAATGAGCAGCAGCAGCAGCAGTAAAAAAATGAACATCTTGCATTGTTTCAGTAACATCTGCAACAGTAATACCTAGTTTTGTTACTTCATTGTCGATTTCCAATAGTTCGCAGCGTTGTTTTTCCAAAAGTATAGATATTTGTCGATTACGATCTTCATTGTATTCAGCTAATTCATTTTTCATCTAAATGAATAGTAAAACAAAATCGTTTTTCGGAAGAATAACAAATTTTAGTTTGTAAACAATCATTAGCACAGCATGAATTCATATCTTTGTTTTTAAACGTACTCTTAATTATCATAGAATTAATATCTATCAATTTATCTCAAATGAATCTACAACAAACTAGATCTTTACTCGATTGAAAAATTGAATCTTCGTTTTTTTTTTAAATATATAACTGTACCTTCTCAACCTCGGCTTAAATTCGTATATGGAAACAAGCTGTCAATGCATGATCCGATAATACTAAGAGTAATAGGAAGATTATTATGAAAATTTATGTTTATTTTAAACAGAAAAAAGACCGTCAAACATGCAACTTCGCTATTGACCTTCAAGGTTGCTTAGTAGCCACATTAGTTTATTTGCTCCTCTAGTCAGAAGTTGTTACATGTCCTTGATGAGTAGAAACATACGAAAATTAAATGTTATTGAAACTGATACGACTACACGGAAGACTATTAGTTATTATGAATACGAGATCTGCACAGACTTCGACCGATGAATTAAATATAACATGCGAATTATTTATCCATCAGAAACACTAGACAACTTTGACTACAAGACGAGCAAACAAAAATAATAGTACTTAATTTGAATTATATTGATAGAGTCTTTTTGTGTTATGGTCATATCAGCCTCTGTTTTCAAGACATTTGGAACTATGCATGTGTCTTGTCAATCATCATCATAAGAAATAAATCATTGACTAATCTTATCAGTATCCTGCCATGAATAACTACTCGAAATACATACGTCACAGGAAGATACGATTCGAGTAAGTTTTTGAAGGCTTCCATACAAATGTAACAGGCAGACACTGTCCGAAAATAGCTTACTAGTCTTCATTTGAGCATAACTAGTAGATAAGTGGTTTCATTAGATATCGTATACGACAAAAAAAAATGAAGAAAAGTCGAGTGGCTGTATCATATTACATTTCTGATAACAACCAAACGAACTCACAGTATTTAGATATGTAATCTGTATTAGATTTTAGATAATCAAAATCAACTAATCTTGAAACTATACAAGATTCATTGTCTTTTTGCTTATTTTGTTACCATGAAGATTTCAATAGCTAATGATTTTAATGAATGCGACGAATGAAATATTATCTTCATAATATTTTTCAATTGTCAATAAACAAAGACATACCTGTTGATTAAGTTTTCTTAAGCGTTCGTCAATATTTTTCTCTAACTGGTTTTTTTCATCTGTATGTTGTTGTTCCATTCGGCGGTAACTCTCTTCTTGTAAACTAATTAAATTACGATGATCTTCTTCCAGGGCTGCATTTAATGAATTACGTTCACGTTCTTGATCTGAATTGAGTTTAATCTTGAAATAAGAAACAAATTAAGTTCGTTCAAAGAGATTCATCTTCCATTTTTATGCCTTACATTTTGTTGATCGAGCATTTTTTGTACTGCTTCTTCAAAGCGTATGTAAAGCGTATCAAATTTTCTTCGTTGCTCATCTTTTAAACTTTTTAATTTGGAATCAAGTTCTTCACGCGTATTACTTGATGTTGCATGCATGTAATCTTGCCGTATTTTTTCTTTTAATGCTTTATATTGATGAGATTGAGTATTATATGCGTCTTTATATTGACGTTTTATTTCAGTTTGTTTTATCTGAATCGAAAACAAGAATGATTGCTTCATTGAAAGAAAATTTATTTTCTAAAGTCTTTTCTTTATTACTTTAATATTTTTTGGAAATTGCTTTTGACTTAATGCATGTCGTTTAGTTAATTCTTTTTGCCGACGATTACTATATTCATTAAAATTCATTATTTCCGTTTGATGTTGTTTATGAGAAAAATCATTTCGCATTCTGAAAAATAAACATTTTTTGAAATCAATCACGATTATTATATGATAATTAATACTAAGATGAAAGTATACACATTAGGATAAAAGATTTTTTTAAAATGAATATCTTATTTATGTAAAAACTTTCATTACGTCACTTTCATACGACTATTTCTTTCATAACAAGCAACGTAGTTGAGCATGAGTTTCTAGTCTCATTAAAGATTTGTACGGCTTAGTACGGGAAGAAAAATATTATCAAAAGTTTTCTTGTTTTGCCTTGGTGATGTTACTTAAAAGAAAATAGCGACTAGGAAATGGCATAAACACATTTCTGGGTATGGTGACATTGACATTTATGGTACAATCTCATATATAAGAAAAACAGAACAAAACAGTAGCCTTGATAAATAACCACAACCGTACAATATCATGCGGTCGGAAAACAACAAGAAATATTTCCTATCGGCGAAAATATAATTGAATGCATCGAAGAAGTAACAGTATTTCGATGCGGATATATATATATATATATATATATATATATGTATGTGAATTTGCAAGTTCAAAGAAATTAAAACAAGACTTAATAAGAGTTTAAACACGTACACTCTGTCTCAAGTTGAGAGACTCTCACTGGCTGATTTTCAATAGAAACATGTACGTCATTAGAAAATCTTAAATTAAAACAATTAACGTTAAAATTTTGTTCATTAATAAATCGAATTTTGAATATAGACTTTGCTGATAAAATTTTCATTTGTTACATAGCTGATCTATGGGTCGCATTCCAAGTTAAGATTATCTGGTTTGACTCTTTCATGCATATTTGTTCGCATGACTGTCAGTATTTATCACATCAGTAGACAAAGATCGAAAGATTTCTAACTCATGAAACAAATCGTATGCGATGGAATTTTGTTTAGGGCTCATCGCACTTGACAACCTGATATGGTTAGTTCTTTCTTTTTAAAGAAATTGCTATCAGATACTATTCAACTCTAGTTTACTACATTATAATCTTGAAGAATACAAATCAAGTCACGTCAGAGTTATGACCATAAAACATCTGACGGCTGGAATTCTCTAAGTTTCACACGGAATAAATAGATCCTTGCTTAACAAAAATCTATTCTGGACTGTATCTCGACCGAAAGATATTTTTATGGCAAACCAATGATTGAAAATCGATACATTTCTTCAAGCAAAAGTTTTGAAAATTTTTCTTGTGACTATGAACTCTATCGCTTTACAACCAAAATATTAGGTCAAAATTCAATCATTCCAGCTCTCATTAAGAAGAAAATAAAATCAAACACTCATAACTCACCAAGTCAGAACCGGAAAACTAAATCAAAATAGATGTTTTTCTTATGCATTTCGATTAATCGAGGAACAATAATCTCAAGTGATTTGACAACTGCGAACATTCCTCGGTGGTGAGTCATATCTCAAAGAAAATATAGTTAAACTGATCTATTTACTTTTCAAACTCCTAATTATCTTATTTTCTATTACAGTACAAAAAATACATACTTGTGTAAATTTGCCAGTTGTCGAACTTCAACTTCTTTAGTTTGCTCATGATGTTTTTGAAGTAATCCATGTCGTTGTACAATGGTATCTAAACTTCTTGTACATTTCTAAAAATTAATTCAAATTTTGTTCTTATATGGATTAAGTATATATATATAAAAGATAATGAAACTTACGTCTTCAAATAACGTTTTCTCTAAAGTGTGTAGTAATAGTAATTTTTGTCGTTTAGCTTTTAATCTTTTAATGGCGGAAGTCTGAACCAATTGACCTTTCAATTTTTCTTCATCATTACGAAATTTGAATTGTAAATTATCTTTTAATCGACGAATTTCTTCTTCTTTTTCACTTTTCGACAGCATCGATGCATTCGATATTTGCTTTAAAACAAAGATAAGTTTGAGAAAATAAATAAATAAAACAATCATTTTACTTTTTTGAATTCTTCTTTTTTTATTTTATACTGTTTTGCCTGTTCATTATGAAACCGTTTAAGTTCATTTTCTGCATCATCATCCTGTTGGCGTTCTAAGTTTTTCATATGATTTTGATTGTATTTAACTCTATCGCCTAATTCTTTACGGTGTTTTTCTAATAAACGATTGTTATCAAAATTCACTTGTTCTTGAAATATATTATATTCACGTTCAAGTTTTGAACGTAATTCTACTTTTTCATTACGACAACGCTCTTCAAACTAAAAATCAGAATTAAATTTTTTAAGAAACGAAAGAGAAAAACAAAACTGAAACCTGTTTAAGTTGTTTCTGATGTTGATGTCTCATTTGTTTGTAACCACGAAATTGTTCAAATTGTTGATCGTCTTGATTATGTTCACGTTGTTCACGTATAACAATGCGTGAAGTTTTTATTGTAGAAAATTCATTGACAGACTGATGATTCTGACGTGTCGAAGAGACAGCAACCATTTTAGGCTGGAATTAAATATTGAAAGCTTTTTGCATAAGACATTCTTGAAAATTTATTTTTATTAATAAATCTAAGGAAGGGACTAATTGTAATAATTCGAGGAGTAGCATTTAGAGTTCATCGGGTTTTATTCAAATAGTAACATTCAATTATGAATTGATCAGTATAAGATCACTGTCAAAATACTGTCCCGTATGCTAATCACGGAATATATTAATAATCGAAAAATCTTGCTCCATCTAAGGGTAGGTACGGATGAAATAAATTTACATTCAAAAAAGGAAAGACATTGTTTTGATCAAAGTTCGAGCATATCGAATTCCAATCATATTACATAATATCGATTATTTTGTAAGTATCAGTAGCCAAGCTTATAGAGAAGAAAAGCGATGATAAAGCTAGAATTTAAGGTAAATGCGAGACTACATTCTAGTAGAGCTACGAAAAACTTAAATGAATTTCGGTCTATGTAATCGTTTATGTTCTAGATCAAAAACCTTAGAATAAGTGATAAACGTAGATCAGAACCAAGATTGAATCGACCATTCATACTCTAAAAGTACCCCAAATGAAAAAGGTTTTAGAAAAATCTATTTTAATAGCTTAGTTGTAGTTAGTATGCTGAGGGGTATTTAAAGAAGAAAAAAAAAACTAATGTCAGTTATTTACATTATAAAAGATATTTTTGAGAAAACCATTTTTAGACCAGGAAAATATTTTTTCTTATAAACATTATTCATGTAAAATTCATTTTCAACTCAAAACTATTGATCTTTCTTTTTTGTAAAACATCGTTATGAATATTTTATAATGCAAATAACTTGTGTTCTTGTTTGTATAAAATTCATTTGAAGATACTCAAGCGTAAACTGCAGTAATGTATTTTCTATTGCATGGCACAAAATATTGAAATCTCTTACATTATTTCGAAACTGTACAGTTGGCTCGTTTTTATTGCTTAGCGATGATGATAATTGATTAAGATTGGAAGCGGAACTTGTATCAATCGTTGAAAAACGTCGATTAGAATTATTAATATTTGCCGTTACTCCAGTGTAAATGGGATTATTAATTGGTTGAGATGTTGTCGATAATTGTTTCGTTAAAACAACTCCTTTAAATACCGCTGAGGGTGCCTGTTGAAGGCTCGAACGACTTGAATTTAAACTTTCATCATCGTCTAGTTGTATGCCATTAGTTCTAGATGCAAAATCTACACTTTGTGTATCATCATCGTCATCTAGATTTGGATCATCCTACATGAATTATAATTATGAGAAACAAAAAATAGAATATTTTTCGTAAATGACGAAAATATGACTTACAAAAATATCATTTTGAGTATTACTGGAACTATCGATGTCAATATTAATGAAATCATTCGTTTGACTGATTTGTGTATTAGAAGTATTCTGTTCTTCATTACTCATTAAAACCTTTTTCATTCGACGATAACGTATGTTATCAAATTCTTTCACAGCTTCTTTGGTGCGTCGAATTAGATCAACTAATATTTCTCGATTACTATTAATCTTAATGAATGGTGTCTAGAAAACAATGATTTGAATCTTCATTGTTAACCTTGAAATTTAATATTTACCTCACAAAGCTCATTAGCTGTTGGTCGATTACTTGGATTTTTTTGTAAACACAAGGCTATAAATGAAACAAAATCATTTGTATAAGACGGAGCCGATGGGTCATTATCATTTTTCATTGTTAATGTTGGTGGTTCATTTTGTGCTATATGATAAAGTGCTGACATTGGATTCATATTGAATAAGGGTGGTTTTCGTTCAGCTAAATAAAGAAAAAAGAAAAACTCAATGAACAGCAGTTCCTCGACTCTACATAGTCGATATCGTGTGGACTTAAATGAACTATTTGTCCTCGAAATGAGCTCATGCTCTATGCTTATATCAACAACGAAAAACTTCATCATTGGGATATTTCTTTTTTTAAATAAATACCGTCTTCTCTCGGGGAAAACTCGCATTCGAATATTGACTTACAATATTGCATTCAGATCAAATTTGATGATAATAATATTTCAGTTATTTTTCAAATTACTTGCGTCCTTTAATGCAACCATTAACCTTACAGAGCGCGGCCCATATCAGTTACAATCAAGTTATAACCATCGAACGTTAAGTTTCTATTTGTTCGTTCTCGATTAGAATAGGTGTATCTCTTAGTATAGAAATAATGACAAGATGTCAAAATCTATTCTTTTCTATTTAGTGCAAACAAAGTTCTACGATAAGAACAATTTATGACACAGCAGAAATACGAATGAAGCCTTACCAAGTTCAATACAAGTTATTCCAAGTGACCATATATCAACTTTTCCATCGTATTGACCATTTTCCATAGCTAATATGACTTCAGGTGCTATCCAATAACTATTACAGAAATTAATTGATATAATTTTCAATAAAATAAATGTATTCGATACATACGGTGTACCGACAAAACTATTTGCTGGGCTTGTAAATGATGCAGATCCGAAATCAGCTACAGAAAAGAAATGCAAAATATGAAACTCGACTGAATTTTTTTTCCTATTACCCAATTTCACGATAGCATCTTCAGTTAGTAAAATATTGCCTGCTTTTATATCACGATGTATTCGATGCATAGAATGAAGATAATCAAGTGCGCATAGTGTATCACATACAATTGTAGCTATTTCACCTTCAGTTAAGGGTTTTTTATGAACTAAATTTTAATGAAACAGAAGCATATGAGCCTTATTTGAAATTAAGATTTGTTTTTCTAACCTTCAATAAGATCTGCTGTTGAACCAAGACAATATTCCATTGCAAGCCATGTTATGTATTCTTTTAAATAGCATCCAGAATAAGATATACAATGGCGATGGTTAAGTTCACGTAGAAAACGAATTTCTTTTAGAATATCTTGCCAAGTCTACAAAGAGAAAAACGATATTGAAATACAGAGAAATGGATGCTTTTATTCAAATCAATATACTTCAACAGTTTGTTTTCGTCCGGTAGACATCTTTTTAATCGCAACAACTTCATTTGTTTGTGAGTTTCGAGCCTAAATGGATATTTATCAGTCAATAAGAATCTGTTGTTTTCTTTAGCATTCATATCTTAACTTACATAATAAACAGCTCCAAAATTTCCATGACCAATTTCGCGCAAATCAACAAATAATTTTTCTGGATCCTCTTTCGAAAACAAATTATCACATTCTATGTCGTTTGATGAAACATCTTTCGCTGAACGAGGAACTGGCATTTAAGTTTCTTTGTTTTGTTTTGTTTTGTTTTGATAAATTCGATCTTATGTCGTTGAATACAGATTGAGTCAAAAAATGTGAATTTACATCTATTAAAAATAGAACAAAATATATAACCGTCGCATTATGTGCAGTAAATGACTAATTCATGAATTGAATTGATTCAGGTGACTGAATCGTCTATCCTATCGCCATGTTTATACTTAACAAACATTTTTTTTTCGTCTTCCTTTCTTGATTTAGGTAATCAACCGAATATTGAGCAATAAGGAAATAAATTGAGTACTGCATAAGAGAGGACGCTACTCGACGGTAAAACGAATGTGTTTGAGTGCTCATGGTAAAGAATGTGTCTTTATTTAGAAAAACAAATAGAACTTTGAATTCGAAACAATCGACCTACATTTTTAAATAGAATATTGCGTGCTAATATTTAATGAAATGTTATTTTGAATTCGATATTAATCATGATTAAATATTGATCGAGTTCTTTGATATATTTCAATTTATGACTGGAAATTTTATTAAAAAATCTTTAGAATAAAACTGATGAAATAAAGTAACGGATGCGGCATAAAAGAATATCATCATTTGTATATAGACGATATAATTCTTGCTTTTCCTGTCCTTGAGACTTTAAAGAGTTTCGCCTGTTGATGGCATCTGGCAGGTGTGTCTCTCTCTCCCTTCACGAATAAATAGAGCGAAATTTAAAAAAAAAGGTGTCTCCCTTGAATCATATTAAAAACTCAAAAAATCGACTCTGTCAGCCTTTATGAGCTTTCTTGCATAATATATATACAAGACTCTTAGAGCTTATGTTTCGAAATCAAAATCTTACTCTGTACTGGTCCGTCTTTCGTTCTATTTGAAAAAAAATTAAAATAACAGTGCATTGTAATTCGTTGACTTGAAATGTGTGCATAAATATAAATGTTGGAGTCTCTTATATTACAAGAAATCTTACTTTTTTAACATAAAAATATGACTCAATTTAGTCATAATAACCATGCAAATAAAGAGCGCATTTGAAAAACTCATTTCTGCCTAATTAGATGTCTGCTAGATAAAAAAATACTAATTTAGCCTAAAAATATTGATGCTATCTGAAAACGTAATATTCTTGTTTAGGGGTGCCTCGATCATTCCAACTTTGGGGAGGTGTAAAAATTTTCTCCTTCGAAATGCTAGGGTCACGGGTGCCGCGAGAAAGCAAAACTTGGGGAGCGGGGGGGGGGGTTGGTTATAAAATCTACTTTCCAAAAATGTTGAAGGGGAGTAACCAGTGTTGCCAGATCTTCCACGATTTTGAAAACTCCTGCATTTTCACAATTTTATATAATTTTTTCTGAACTTTTCTCGATTTTTCTGGATCTTTTTCGAATTTGTCAGGAGTTTTTTGAATTTTTTGAGGATTTCGAGATTTGAATTCTGGATTTTTAAGTTCAACATTTGTCAATACTGAGAATAACTTATAAAATCACGCTTAAGATAGTATCTAAGTTTTATTTTGTAAAACAAAATGCAAGACAATTTTTCGAACATTGGGGGGTGTTACACCCCCGGGGGGGGGGGGGGGGGGGGGGGGGGGGGGGGGGGGGGGGGGGGGGGGGGGGGGGGGGGGGGGGGGGGGGGGGGGGGGGGGGGGGGGGGGGG